ACATGTAACAAAAATGAAAACAAAATAATCCTATTTATTGATAATAAAAATAAATACAAGCAAAAAACATCAGGTAAAGTAAGAAGAAAAACAGTCTATTTTATCTTATCTTATCTATTATATATTTTAGAGGATAAAAGAAAGAAGGCGGAAGTACTAGACTGCATCACAAACGGAGAATGTTTCACGCGTTGTTACATGCAAAATATTCAAGGAAAATTATTTATTACTTCAAATAATTATTGCTGGGACACTTAGGCCCCTTCTTAGAGAAATATATAATACTAGTTCAAAAGTTAAATTATAAATAAATGCCGTACAGAAATAAGGCAAAAATGTCATCATGTCAGTTGAATCTAACCTTTAAATCTTTAAAAAATATTTATATAGTATATAAAACACGTCGGCGAAAGCTTATTAATTGCTTTGCACGCAATCTACTGCGTCGGCAGTAAAATGTATGTTGTGCAATAATATGTGCTTTCTCCGCCTCGTCTATAATGTACTATTTTGTAATTTTATTTAATTAACGTCAGTATTTTAAATAACCTATACGCTAAAGACACTAGACCACACCAATAGATAATTTACTCCAATGGATGGCCTTGTATCTGAATATAGTTCCTTCATTTTCCGAGAAGGCGCTGTGGTCAATGACTATGTAGCAAACCCGCCATCCCGCCATTTATAAACAGCTGTCACTCATCTTTAAAATATTATATAAATCATATATGCTCTGTTTTTGTTAGCAAAAACAGAGCATATCGATGGTTATTTGACAAAACATCATAAGCGACAAAACCTAAATTTTACAGGAGAGATTTTTTTTGTGTGGGAGCTTTATTTTTAAAGTTATTTATCTGAAAACTGGTGAGGCATTATTTTATTAATGTATAATTAAAATATTTAAGTTAGATCGAATCCAATCTAAAATTTTCATTAAATTTTGTGGCATACGATATTTTATAAGAACATCTTTAGGAAAATGTAAAAATAGTCTTGTCGCTTAAGTTACATTTACGTTACTTTGTGGGATATAGATTTGATGATTACTTTTGTCAAAACATTGTTAGCGACATTTATTTTTTACTTGTATTATTAAATAAAAAATAATTACAAAAAAATTAATTTATATCACCAACGATATTTTGCAAAACAATGTTTGAAAATGAAAATCTACATTAGCTTTCTTTGAAAAAAACGAACGATTTTTATTCGCAAACCAGTATCTAACCCATGGAGCCTACACAAGGAGCCCGAACTTAATGTATGTGCAAACCAACCTTTAGGGACATTTTTGACAAGATGACAAGCAGTTTCAAAAAGTTGACAGAGAATCTAACCTTAAAACAACACAATTAACAATGAAATACGTCAAACTGACAACTTTCAGAAAGTAAGGTTAGTGGTTACTGAAGGCATTTTTACATTTTGAAATCAATTTTGAATGACAGGTCGTTCGAAATTTTTTGGCCGTCATCTAACCGATATAAATTTGAGTTAAATTATTTGACGTTATAACAACATACAATTACTACAAAAAACACTTTTAACGAACCACACTACGTAAAAACAATTATAATTAGGATAACTATTAATAATGCAATGATAAAAAGGAATTATAAGCTTTTGATCAAATAAAATATCGTTTTAAAACCTGAGGCAATCACAATCCACATTGTGTAGCAATCACCACGATGCAGGTATACTCACGAATAAACTGTTTAGAGCGGGAATAACGCCTTGATAGATCAAGGCGGGAGCACAATATTATCGTAAGCGACACAATGTTAAATCGCAAACGCCATGTCTCGGAGTTGCTTACGATTATTTGTCAGGAACATATAGGCGCTTACGTTATAAATCGGTAACAAATTAAAAAGAAGAGGCGCTTACAATAATAAAAATATTCAAACTGACCAATATTAGATTCCAAAATTGGAATAACTATTATGTTAACATGTGCAGCTTATCGTAATTGACACTTTGATAAAATAAAAAGTAATTCAACAAAATTGTCGCTTACGATGTTTTGTCAAATAACCATCGATATACAGTTCATTTTTTTATCTGGACTCGTGTTTTTTTGTTAGGTTGGTGGCTTATGCCAGTTTGACTTAGTATTTTTAGTAGTTAAAATGGGACTTCTGCCAAAGAATTTAATTAAATACTTTGACACAATGCTAAGTAATATTTTTTTAACAAAATGCATTCGTGCAGGTGCAAAAATCCTCCTCTTCGACTCGGATTTTTGTTGCCACCAGCACTCATGCTTTTTGTTAAAATATTACTTAGCAACGTGTTTTTTCGATATTTTTCGGAAAAATTAGATGCCCTTATGATATTACTTACGATAATTTACTTGTCAATTATAAATAAAAAGTTAATTATGCCAAAAATAATAGCAACGAATTCGAATGTAAAAGCCATTTTGAGGGCAAAACTTCATTTTAATGAAATTATGCCAAATGCCACAATGGAAGAAAAAGTACATCGCCTTATTGACATTTTTGGACATATGGATATTTTTGGGGTATTTGGTTTTATAAATATTACATCACACATTATTTTCACATTATTCACCATTGGACAACATTTACGTTCAAAAAAATTTTAATTTCTTTTATATAATTTTTTCCGCTAGGAATACTTTCTCTTCTGGGCCGTAAAGCAACCTATATTTAACTACTTTTTTATATGATTTTACTTATCCAAGCACCACAAAAGCCAAATTAATTGCATTTTTAACTACGAATTTCGACAACTCAACTTGACAACTGCACAATGTAACCTACAATAATTTATACATAACCACAATTAGATTTATAACTAGCTTAGTTTTTTTTAATCAATGCGACCAACTTGACAACTGTATTTACCAACCAAAACCATAAATTTGCAACGTTGCCGCAGTGCAGATAAAAAAATGAACTTTATGATTTATATAATATTTTAAAGATGAGTGACAGCTGTTTATAAATAGCGGGATGGCGGAGTCATTGACCACAGCGCCTTTTCGGAAAATAAAGGAACTATATTCAGATACAAGGCCATCCATTGCAGTAAATTATCTATTGGTGTGGTCTAGTGTCTTTAGTGTATAGGTTATTTAAAATACAAAGCATTGGCGTTAATTAAATAAAATTACAAAATATTACATTATACAGGCGGAGAAAGCACATAATATTGTAATTAATAAGCTTTCGCCGACGTGTTTTATATACTATATAAATATTTTATAGGTTAGATTCAACTAGTTGAATCAGCTGACATGATGACATTTTTGCCTTATTTCTGTATGGCGTTTATTTATAATTTAACTTTTGAACTAGTATTATATGAAGTCTTTCTATATAGACTTATGAGTCTTATAATTTAAAAAAAATATTTTTCTTATTTAAACATATTATCTGACGCTCTCTAAGAAGGAGCCTAAGCGTCTCAGCAATAATTATTTTGCATGTATCAACGCGTGAAACATTCTACGTTTGTGATGCCGTCTAGCACTTCCGCCTTCTTTTTTTTCTCCTCCGAAATAGATTCTGTATTCTGCTCTTTCAATATCCGACGTCAAATATAAAATATAGAAATACAAATTTAAGCAGGGACTGAATTTCTTACTTTACCTGAAGTTTTTTTCGTGTATTTATTTTTATTATCAATAAATAGGATTATTTTGTTTACATGTGCATATATTTTATGTATTATAATATATTTTATTCCACATCATGTTAAGCCATTTTTCAATTTTTTATTCTAATATGCGTTTTAAATAATACATCATATTATGATATAAGTACTTCCTTAATAAAATATGCAAGTACCTCCTATTATTAAAAATAAAAATTGTTTTTCAAAAATACCCATATTTACTGTATTTACTGAATATATAGCTGGGGTTCCTGTCAGTTATTTTCAATACGCCTACGATACTTGCGCAAGATGCAAAAAATGCATTTTGAAGTCAAAATTTTCTACTACCCTGTAACACACTTAAGAAATTTCGACTTAAAAATGCATTTGGGCAGTTTCAGCTCTAACCCCTTCAATTGGTTTATCGTTTGATGTCCAATTAGATAAGCTATGTTAATTTTTTAAGAGAAAATTTTTAGTTCAATCTCCGCATTTTTCTTTTGCACCTGGCCTCTAGTAAGCTAACACCGGCCCTGTGCGTGGTAACCATAGAAACCGTCAACTCACCTGTCACAGGTTTTTCTTGATACAAAATAATATTTAAAATTTAACATCAATCGTTTTTGAATATACTATTTGATTATGTAAAAACATACCGGGTGTTACATTTAAAATAAAGAAGTTATTAACCTTTTAAGTTAGCCTAATTTGCCCCTGGGTTTCCTAGGTAATTTGTTAAAAATGTTAAAATTTACATTGAATCTTTTAAACAATGTTTTAAGATTTCAAAAATTTTACCGCCATATCCGCAAACCTAATAACAAAAAAGTTATAGGCTATTTATGATTGACGAGCATTTGTCAATTTTAACGAAAAAAAATTAATAACTCTAGAACTATTCACATTAGGTATAGGACATTGTATAGTAATTTTACCTAGAATTTTATACAGAATTAAAAAATGTAAATGGGGTGCATGTATTTTAGAAAAATAGACTTAAATGGATTATAAGCGCTTTTAAAATTTTAAATCAATATCTTTTTTGTTTCCCACAAACTTCTAAAGGACCACGAATGTGAAACACCATGTATAGTTACAAATTTATAATCAGATATCTTTTAAACATCCCTAAGAAGATATCTTTTTTATGTTTTTAGGCGTCCAGATATGGGCACTGGCAGGGGGCAAGAGGGGAAAGTTGCGCATTTTAAGTTCATTTAAATATTTAAATATAGATAATTTCGCGTTATTTTTTTCCCCGCTCTTGGAATATTTTCTGCCGGCGCCCATGCGTCCAGACAAATAAGATCTAAGAAAGATGTCTTTAAGATATCAAGTGATGTTATAATTATTAATAAATAACGTACTTTTAACCCTATTGTGGCTACCCATCGAATTAACCGCTCATTACTCCATACTACCACGTCCGCTATTATGTTTTCACAGTTTTTCCGCCTTTCTTCTAACATATGTCTATCATAGTTAAGTCTTTTCAGGCATGATATTCCCATCAGTAGACTTGTCCTGTAATTAAAAAAGCATGTTAAAATAGAAAATAACTAATAAAACATCATATCGTCGAGCTAAATTAAAATTTTAAACCTAATTCACAATTAAAAACATATAATAATAATATAATGCCAAACTCTCAATTAGGATAAAACATAAATTCCTTTGAAGTTAACTGTGGTGTAGACTTTTAATTTAAACCTAATAACAAACAAAAAATACCGCACGATTTATTGAATTTATATTATTTCCCGCACAACAATCCAGAGGTCATATTATGTTATTTTTCATTAGTTTTGCCGCAATTTATTTTAAACGCAATATATATATTGCGCACCAAGTACACTATAGTGTACTTGGCGCGCATAATGCTTTGTGCGCATGCCCCCGCCAATTAATTTCAATTAAACTCTATGAGCTAGTTGATACCGAGGGGTCACCCACACCTGGGAGTCCCTGGTCATTTTAGAGGGGGAATACCATAGGAATACAATGGAAATGCATAGGAATACAATAAAATATAATGGGAATACATGGGAATCCCTGGACGTTTTCCCTTTGGGTGGTTGACCCCTCGGTTGATACACAAATAAGCAAAATGCATGAGAAATCACGGGATGCTGGGCGGGTTCTGTATATCTTGCTGTATTATAATAATTATACTATTTTACTATTATAGGTACTATAATAGTAGACAATCCAGGTGAAAATTTAAACTTAACTATACATAGAAGTATTTGACCCCATACGTATATTTATGAGGTCAAATAAGTACATATTATGTATGTATTAGAAGGTGCACCATGTATCATTCTATGAATGGGTATCTGTTTTATTTAAACAGCTACATGGTCTATTAAATTAGAGAAAAGTTGCGTAAATTCGGTTAATAAAATGGCATTTCAAAATTGAGTACGAGTATAGGGAACGTATTTTGTTTGATGGAAAATACGCTGTAGGGGCTTATCTTGCTTCTTGAGGTACTTCTTGTTGGTTTGCCTTCCGCGTCTATGCTGAAAATTCGGAAACCGCTGTACACGAATTGTTTGCCCCACAGTGTAGACGACGGGTTGTTCGTGTTGCCGCTCTGACTTTGTGGAAATTCAATTCCATGTCTGACTTCGGAAAAAATTGAGCCATATTTGCCGGTCTTTGTTTACTTCCTAAATTTAGGAACTTATGCACATTTACCCAACTGTGCGTTTTCTTATACAAATTATACGTTCCTTATGGAGGAGGTCACTTTGGCTAGGTACTTAATTTATAACCTTTGTAAACAAACTTTTTAGGCGCCGAGTGTTTATTTATTAGTTTGAACGTGCTTAAGTGCTTTTTGGTTTAGATTCTGGCGTACCTTACGTTAACTGAATTACGTTGTATTTAATTAAATTTTTATGTGTTGCAATTGCAATTGGACATGCGATTAATTAAAAGTACTTATCAGTTTCTGTCCCTTAGTCCCTCGTTTCGCCTTCGCTTTCCACGGTGATCTTCAGGTATTTTAAACAGCTATAAAGCTGTCAGGTGGTAATAGCAAAGAGTAAAGAACCACTTTACTCTTTGGTAATATCACCATGTCACTCATCTACTTATCTGTATCCGTAATATTTCGCACTAAATTATTGCACTTTTGGTTTCAACTGCGAGTCTATGGTTATTCTTTATTTAAGTGGTTATGCCAAAATTTTTTAGAAGCGGTCTGTTATTGACTGCCCTGAATGAGGGAACAATTTGAACGGTCTATTAAAATGGACTTTAAAAATTAAAAAAAAAACAGCAGTTGTTAAATAATTTGAAAAAAACTAAAAACCTGCAAAAACCGAAAATCGTTAAAGGATGGAAATGTAGATTAATGTGTAAGTTTACATGTTAAACTTACTTTTTTTCAAAACTCCCAGGAATAACAAAGCTATAACGATTTTTGCTTTTGAAAGGTTTTTAATTTATTTTTCAAGTATTTTGAGAAACGCTGTATATTTTTTTAATGTATATATTTGATTTTAATAGGCTTGTAATAATGCTACTTTTCTCTAATTTAACATTAGATATATAGAGGGAGCTTGGACCATTGCGCATCCAATTTTATGGCGACAGGCTCGCGATAATCTCTACCTCTGATTTGCAAGCTTAATAAAAAATAAACAGATGACGCAACTGTCGCTTGTTATTAGTTTTATATAAGTAATATTACTAGTTCTTCCCTAAAAATGTTGGGATTTATTATAAGGAATTCTAATACATTCAATGATATAAACGCATTAAAAAATTTGTATTATTCGTTTGTTCGTTCAAGGCTCGAATATTGCAGCTTGATTTGGTACCCAATTTACACAACCTACAAAGTTTCGTTGGAAAATATTCAAAGACGATTCCTGAAATTTGTAAACTTCAGAATTCATGGTTTTTATCCTATCAGAGGTCATCCTCAGGCTGAATTACTTCGGGCCTTTTCAATCGACTCACTTGAATTGCGTAGAGTTAAGTTTAGCATAAAATTTGTGTATGACTTGTTTCATAATAATATCGACTGTATGTTGTTATTATCTATGTTTAATCTGTATATTCCCCGTTTAAACTCTAGGACTAAATTAACTTTTAGGGAAGATAATGCCCGTACTAATGTTTTGTTGAAATCTCCAGTGCAAGTCATGATGAAAAATATTAACGAAATATCTTCAAAAATTGACATTAATAGTTCTTCGCTAACTTTCTTATTAAAAGAAGCTGATAACTTTTTCAAAAATATTATTAATGTGTAAATGTTGTTTTATTTTATGTACGTATAAACTTATTGTATATTGTATAATTTTGTCCTTTAATTGGATGTAAATCTGTTGGGCAATAAAGTATTATTATTATTATTATTATTATTATTATTATTTATAAGCAGTGTTGCCGTTTGCGGGTATTTTACCCGAAAATCGGGTATTTTCGCCATGCTTGAGGGTAAAATATTACAGCGGGTATTTTGAAAATTTTGATCAAAATAGTGACCTAAAAATTTTTAGTATATGATATTGTATACAGTGTGTCCAGTTGGCAACATGTGGGAAACTTTCTTATTATTAATTTTAAGAAAAAAAGTTATTCTTAATAAAAAGTTCTGCATGTTCTAAAATCTAAAATACAATCATCGGATATCTAAAAATTTCAGTCATATAAGCGGTTTGTCAAAAAATAAAAAACTTACTCAAGAGTAAAGTACCTCTATATTTGACAATATCCCGGGCAATATCGAAAATTCTTATTAAAAAAAGTTGATCAGAACTAAAAACTACGTTCAAATATGCAATTATTTGTTTAAATAACAATGCAAATGTAACTGTAGTTACATGTAATCTAGGATGAACTGACAAACAAATGATTTGTTGATAGCAAAAAATCTTTGACATTGAATGTCAAAACATCAGGATTTGCTTATTACGAAACGGAAAGGTTATCATGTTTGTAATAAATAAAAAAGATAAATGTTCGGTATCGGTAATTTTTTTCACTAGAAGGATGTAATTGCATATTAAAACATAGTTTTTTTATTCTGAACAACTTTTCATAATTACAGTTTTCGATATTGTCACAAATAAAGGTACTTTACTCTTGTACCAAATTCATATTTTTGTCAGACGTATATGACTGAAAAAATTTGATATCTGATTATTATAGATTTTAGAACATGCAGGACTTTTTATTTTTAAGTAAAATTTAAAATAAGAAAGTTTCCCATATGTTGTCAACTTAAGTAGTCACACTGTATTTACTGAATATACATAATTATTACCCGGTCAACATTTAATAATAAATAAATAATTCTTTATTCGCCCCAAAAAACATATAAAGGATAGTTTATAGAGGGACACCTCTATATACACATTATAATTCAGTACATATTTACATTAACAATCGTCATACACAATTCTTCACGCCTAGCCTCGATTAATTTCAACCCAAAAGTACTTGCACCTCTGATTTTTTTGTTTTGCATGTTTTGTTAATGGTTCCTGATTATTTTAATGCCAGGTAGGAAAAAATCTGCTGAGCCGTTTTTGAACTTCCTTTAGAAAATAATTTTTTTGCGGAAAACCTAATTATATATTTTTTAATACCACTCTAAGAATTAAAATTGTAACAAGTTTGCATATTTAGGTAAAAAACTTAAATGTGAAGACTATTATATTTACATACAGCCCGTTGTAACCTCTTTGGGTAGTTTGAATGGTTCTTGGAGACTTTGTATTTTTTCCATACCGAATTAAAATCAAAATGCACATACTCCATTGCCTGTTCACTAAAAAAGCCCAAGGCCTGTTGCTTTTCATTACAGGAAATCTTCGATATGAAAAAAAAGTGCATGAACTTTAGGGGTGACACTAATTTCCAGATCCAGGTAACTCTTCTTAAAGGCCGCAATAGAATTTTTAAAATCTGGATTTAAAACTTGACCAAAACGTGATTTAACAATTACTTTAAAGTCTTCAAAGGCTTTCACAAATTTTAGGCAGCCCAGGCTGCAATCTCGTCGCTTAAAAGCGGGACCGCCATGAGTTACTTCACGTTGGACATTTGAATGTTGTGCCCATGCCAAGGCTTCCTTTTTAAAATCTATTAACATAAGCGTAAACAATGTATTAACAAGCATTAGGTGTAATTCCGGTGGAGGAATAATATTTAAAAACGTTTTATCTAAGGGAGTTGAGAAAAGCGGCGGATGAATGCAATTTTTGTATTCTTTTGCCTTCTCCTTTACAGCTCCCGCTTTAAACCAATCTGAATAATTTTGAAATGTGTTAGTATACTATATATACTATAGTACTTTTTAAAGTGCCACGTTCGCAATGTTTATCTTTTCTGACGTAACACCATGTACAGGGGAAAAGACTGCTGTGCGACATCATGCTGACTAGAATGTTTTAAATCAGTTGCAATTGTTCCTTCAAAATGGTTAATGTTGATTGCAGCCCATAATTTTGACACATTTTCATAGTTTTCTTGTGTGCATTGCGCTAACTCAAGAATAAACAATTTTTTCACAACTGAGTCTTTAAATCGTTTAGCAGCTATTCCTTCCATGTACTCTTCCAAATCCACATTTTCAGTTGATTGAATGGATAAACATATTTTTAAAAACCCTCCACCTCCATCTTTTCCAAACTTCAAATGAACCTCAGATGATTGTCGATTTTCCTTAACGTATTCAATGAATCCATCAAGAGCCTTGCAGTAAACTACAAGCTCTTTAGCATCAGTCGAAACCTTAGCCGTTATATTCACAAAATCAAAACCCTTCATTCCAAAAAAATTATCGACGGAATGAGTGTTATTTAAAATTTTCCTCTTCAAGTCGGGTTCGATAACTTTGCGGTTTTTAGTAGCTACTCTGACAACACTTGCTATTCCACAAGTTGTTTTTTGGCTAAGATTAAAATTTGTTTGTATTTTTAAAAAGTCATCTAGTTTTTTCTGAACGTTATCTTCAGTTCTCTTTGGATTAACAAAAACGGCAAGAGGTTTTTCTCCCTTTGATTGAATCAGCGAAAGTGAATTACATAGTTTTTAATTTATTTTCTTTATTAATGTTTTGTTTTACTAGTGAAGAAATGACCTGCTGTTGAAATTTTGATGTAGATTCTGATAGCTCCTTGTTTAAGTTATAAAATCTTGTTAAGATTACATTTGTGTGTCTTTCCTCTTGCAATAACAGAGAAACAGGAACTACAACGTTTTTCTAAACACGGTCGTTTAGGATTACCTAAATTTTAAGAAGAAATAGATACGTTGGTCTCAATTAATTAAGGGATCTTATACTTACAGGAGGTAGTAGTATTTAAACTATCCACTAATATTCCTTTTCTTGGAGGTAAAATACCGTTTTTTGTAAAATTACCAATTTAAGGAGTTCTTGCAAGTTTACAATCATGACAATCACATTGAAAATGGGCATTAGATCTTGTAATTTTCTTGAGGGGTCGCAATTCAATAAAAATTGGCAGTTGTATGTTTTTTTGCATCCCATTTTTTACGCGATATATATATCTCGTTTACAACTACTACACAGAACAAGTGCTAAACGATTATCGTGGACATCGTAATCAAACAGATTTTCTACTTCTTTTTTAAGTTTATCTTGTATCCTAATTAATCATTACTTTAGTTTTTCCGAAACACAGTAAGCAAATCTTTAGTCGATTCTCATCATGAGTTCCTGCGTGGTCTTTGGACATCTTCAATTCAAGTAAGTACTTAAGAAACAGATTAAAGGATAGCCCTGCTTAAAATACCCCATAGAGACCCTGTTCAAACCGATAGATATTTGTATCGGAATGTATGGTGTTTCTATAGGGTGTATCGGTATGTATAGGATCCATAGTTGGGATTTATGGTTGTTCTATAGGGATTTACACCCTTGATTTATTTGCTATTGGTTTCAATGGGGAAAATACACATAAATGTAGAAATTAGTTTTTCCCCCATAGGACCCCATAGGTTTTAATAAAATTTTGTCAAATGTTTTATTGTTGTTCTATAGGGATATCCTAATCTTAAAAAAGAGCACTTTATAACTTTAATAGGGAAAATGTAAAAGTTATGGTGTGCCTATAGGTAATTTCCTATATATTTTCTATCGGGCCGTATCCGGAAAAAACCATGGACAAATGCACATATTGAATCCGGTAGCGCCCGATAGATTATTAAATATAGGTCTCTATGGGGTATTTTAAGCAGGGAGATACAAAACCAATCTGACAGCTACATGACAGTTAGCGCCCACCAAGCTTTGCCGCTTGGAATCGCCAGACTGGCGTGTTATTTGGTTACAATGCCTATTTATTATTAGGAAAAAGAAAAAAATACGGTTTTCTCAATAACGGCTCAGCAGATTTTTTCCTACTTGGCATTAAAATAATCAGGAACCATTAACAAAACATGCAAAACAAAAAAATCAGGGGTGCAAGCACCTTTGGGTTGAACTTAATCGAGGCTAGGCGTGTCTTATAGTTACTTAAATACACTATACACATTTATACATATTTATTTACATATACATTTATCACTAATACAGTCATTAAATATCACAGATATACTTAAAATAAATAAAGCAAGCTTTAACCTCAACTTAAGTTTTTTTTTTCTTCAGTCTTTTTTAGTCCTCCCTGAAATATTGAATATAATCATTTATGTTTTTTCTAAATTTGTGACCTTTAAAATTTTTAATGCTGTTAGGCAGCCTATTATATAAATGGACTCCCCTGTAGGAAATCGAGTTCATTCCCATTTGGGAATTTACTTGAGGTAGATTCACCTCTGCATTGGCTCTTGTAGAGTGATCGTGAACATTATTTCTATAAGTGAACTTAAGACATGAGTGTCTTTTAGAATCAAGGACTTGATTTATAAACATACTTGTTTGATATTCATTAATACTTTTCACAGATCTAATTCTAAACAAGTTATAGAGGTCAGCTGTTGAATATCTTTTATCTAAAGAATATAAATTTTTTATGGCTTTATTTTGGAGTAATTTAAGTGGTTTAAGAGTACAGTTAGATGCATTTGACCAAATAAGATTTAAGTATTGTAGGTGTGAGTGTATCAAGGAGAAGTAAATCGACCTCAAGTATTTCCGGGGGACAGTATAAATTCTCCTAAGCACACCAATCGGACCGGCCACCTTTCCACACACATGACTGACATGATCTTTCCAGGAAAGCCTGTCATCGATTTTTAGGCCCAGGAACTTTGTAACCCGCTTCAGCTCGAAAGCATCATTAACACATCGTTCTCTCTGGTTTTTATGAATATACATATAAGATGACTTCTCCATGTTCAGGGACAATTTATGGGAATTAACCCACTTTTTTTTTAATTATCAAATCAGAAGCCATGGACTCGTTCACTTGCTCGATGGTGCGGCCATAGTATATTATGGTCGCATCATCAGCATACAACCTCAAATTTCCATTAAGTTTTAAGTTTGACATGGAATTTACGTAAACCAAAAAAAGTGTCGGCCCCAAGGTTGAACCCTGGGGCACACCACATTTAATAGATTGTCTAGAGCTTTCTACTGAGTCCACAACAACATACTGCATTCTATACGAAAGATAGTTTTCAAACCACCGCAAGCAAGAGTCCGTTACACCAATTAGCTCCAACTTCCGAAGCAAACTACCAAAATTTACATTGTAACGTAACATTAACCAAAATGTTATGTAACGATTGTGATGTGTAACATTACAGTTACATAACCTGACTGTTGCAAATAGGTTCCTATTTCCCACTCATAGGTGTAACATTGTTACATAACAACTTATTACAATAGTATTGCAATGTTACGTTGCTGTTATATTGCTTATTGGTAATTTTGTTACATTACAATAGTTTCACAATGTTACGTTATTGTTATATTGCTGATTGGTAATTTTGTTATATTACAATAGTTTCACAATGTTACGTTGCTGTTATATTGCTTATTGGTAATTTGTTATATTACAATTGTTTCACAATGTTACGTTGCTGTTATATTGCTTATTGGTAATTTTGTTACATTATAATAGTTTCACAATGTTACGTTGCTGTTATATTGCTTATTGGTAATTTTGTTACATTACAAAAGTTTCACAATGTTACGTTGCTGTTATATTGCTTATTGGTAATTTTGTTATATTATAGTATCGCAATGTTACCATTATTTTAGGTAACTTGCGTTGCATTTTAGTAACATCGTTACATTGCAATGTGACTCCTATGTTACATAACGGCAATACTGTGTTACGTTAAATGTTGACCGGGTTGCTATATGTGTTTTTTATTGTGAGAATTCCTGTGCTATAAAATATCTTGTGCTGTTAAAACGTGTAGAAACACCAACATGTTTGACCGCGCCTCGTATACGTGGTTAAAAATGGGGGCTATGAGTGTGTCCCCATTCGCGCACGTTAAGGCTCAATCTCCCCCCTCTATATCTCTAAATTTAACCAACCTTATAGCTTTACACATAAAAAAATACACAATTAAAAGGATACTTGGTGCACCCTGTATACTCAAATAAATTGGCGGTTTCAAAAACCATCAAACATATCTGATGATTTGCAATTCCTTTCTGGACAGTCAGTCACTAGCATGGTTTAAATGCTGTTAAATTAGTGCGAAATTAAGCGAAAATATCGCTATATTAACGCATTTGGATATTTGACTATCAATTTATGATTTTGAATTAGTGTGATGCTACCTCAATATAACAATAGCTAATATACTTTTTTTACAATTTTCGTAACTTTGACTTCATGTTAACGATCATTCAATCTAATGTGTATTTTTTTTCTTGTTTACTGCTGTTATTTATATTATTTATACCATTTATTGCTGTTATTTAAACATCTAAATATATATTATTGCTAATATAACACATATCTGTCAAAGTTCTTGTAACTATTTAGATATTATTCTCAATAAAAAAAAGCTGATAAAGAATTATGTAAGTTTATCCATGAGCCAAGAATGGCTAACGAATTTAGCAATAATTTCTATAGAAATATCTAAGTATAGCCATATCTATAGGATACAGGATACTGTGTATGTATAATATAAAGTTTAATAACTATACTCACATTATAGCCAAATTTTTTTTGTAAAATGACAAAAATTGTAAAATACCACTCATATTTTAATCCGTTTAACACAAATTTGAATTTTCGATACAAGTCGCAAGATTTGTCAAGGTGATTAACCTAATATTGACTAAAACGTTTGGAACACTTACCTATGAAAACTATCAACCATTTTTAGTTGCCCTCTCAAATCTTTTTTGTTCAGATGGTCGAGCATGCGCGCGTCTACCAAACACTCCATAAAGGTGGTGCGGTATTGGGGCAGGCCGAGCGCCGGCAACCAGCTGTTTCCGATCCACTCGTGGTTCATGTCTCCGAACGCAAGCGTCGTGCGAGACGTTTTCGGCGCCGACGGAGACGTCAACGACACCATCTCTTGGATAGCCAGGCGCAGTTTCAGTCTGTGCAATGGATTGCTGATGCCTATTTCGCGCTGAATCTCGGTGTCGCTAAATAAAAAATTTAAATTTAATATAAAAAAGTCAGCTTAAGTTTTAAGTTTATTTTATTTAACTTCAGTTCTAAAATTTAATATTAAAAGTTCAGCTAAATTTTAGAAAACATCAGACGGATGTCAACAGCCAAATGGAGCATACACAAGGAGGGATTTAATAGGAAAAATTGACAAAACCTGTCCAATCAATTGCACAAATTAGGTTTTGTTTTTTTTTACCACCAGCGGCGCTGATTGTCGATGCGTACTGACGTATGCGTTGGTAGCGTTTCGGTACAAATCAAACAATCAACAGAACCCCAGCGCCCTCTTATATTAGGAAGAATTTTGTATACATGAAGTTCGGACTCCTTGTGTAGGCTCCATGAGTCAAACTTTGAAACAATATAACCCGAAAAACATATTAAAGTTTAATTCAAATTGAAAATTTTAGTCTAAAATTACATGATCGGAATTTGCATACAAATTTAATTAATGAACATTATTTTGATTAATAAATATAATCAAAATACTAGTTTCTTTTTTTTTAGATTATTGGCTTTTAGTCTTTTTCAGACTATTTAGCCAGCTCATTATATTTTTATTTTTGTTTAATAAACACCCAAGGCTGTGCCCGGGAATCGAACCCGGTACCGTTAGACGCAGATTGTTTACAGCTCTGTAACTCAACCCACTGCGCCATCCTCCGCCCCAAAAATATCAGTTTCAAATGACAGCAGTTGTGAAATGAAGTAACTATTGCAGTGTTGCCTTATTATCAAAGCGCTTCCCTCCTAAATGATCCATTTATCCCTAATTATTATTCAAAATTTCAGTCCATTTTTTCTCAACTTTTTTTATTTGAGGGAGATAGAAACAATAAAAATGATTGTTTGCCCTTTTTCACTTAATATTGACAATAGTCTGTTTTATTAATAACATTAGAGGTCCTCTTAGTAAAAGGCTTTTACAATATTATATTGTAGATAGGACATATGTGCTTAGCACGCGCCAGTAATACTAGTATTAGTTAATAAATTAAAATAAAATTTTAGTTCAATTATTTCTCATAGTATTCTGCAGCGTCGACAAAATAGAATTTCGAATGATTATTTGATAGAAAATTTAAACAGACCAAAATTTGCCGAAGGTGACCGAGTGATCCGCACTTTGCATTTATAATCCAGTTGTATCCGTCTAAAACAACTTCGTCCCCCTAAAACTCCCCCCAAACGTTCAAGAAACTTCTAAATCTAGGGTAAAACCCCTGATCTATTTTGACAAAATAATAGTTTATGGTGCCAATGTCGTTCCTATGGGGGGTTTCGAGGGTTCAAACCACACCCTAAGCCCAAAAATTTTTAAAGAAAAAAAGTGAAGAAATAATTTTTAATAACCAATCTTAAATTTTTCTCCCCCCTTCCTTCTTCTTACCCTTTTATACGCTTAACCCCCTTCCCCATACAAAATTTCTGGGCACGTCACTGTATGGTGCAATGAGTGGAGAAAATAGTTAATTATGAAAGAGCATACATTTGACACGCGAGCGAAGCAAGCTTGACAAGTTCATAAATGACCATTCTTCACTAGTTCCACATATTATTTTGTCCCAAAATCCAATAAAAAATTTCAAAAACACTTGTAGAAATGAATTGAGGAGAGTTTAAAATTGTTTTGGAGATAGGGTTACTAATAGGGAATGCAATCTTGGTATTGGTATGGTATTATGCGACGCTAAAAAATAGAAGGTACAGACCTTTAAAATTATGGTACAAATACCATAATTATGGTACGGTTGGCAATACTGCATAGAATGCGCTGCGTCCTATCTCGCAAATTTTGCGAGATTGCGCAAGAATTTCGTACAAGACTAATCTTGCCTAATTAGTGCGAGATCTTGGTATTTCGAGATCTTGGTATACCAAGGTTGCATTCCCTAGTTACTAACAAAGCATGACGTCTGACCCGGAGATTTGTAGAACTTTAAAAATACTTTTTGTCACATGCCCATGGTCACAAGAAATCAATGTACCCTAAAAGTTGTTATTTAGTTAGAAAATGAGATTTATTTACTTAGAAAATGAGATTTACAAAGTTTAAGCTCAATTGAGCTTAAATAAAAAAAGTGAATTTTTCTAAATTTTTGATAAAAATCACACCAAGGCACCAATCTCATCAAGGCACCAATCTCATCAAGACACAATTTTTAACTTAATTTAACTTTTCCAACTGACCTGAATCTAATTTATTAGTCAAATTTCAAATTTTAGGGGTGTTCCAGAAGATCTGCAAAAAAATCTTGGAAATTAAAAAAGTTGTTTTGCAAACAAATTTGTTCCCAGCTCATTTGGCTTTTAGCCCGGAAAACGGCCTTTAAACCCAGAGATCATACAAAGTCTCCGGGCGTGTTGGTAGCCCAGGTCTGCATGATCCCGTGGACGATTTTCATTCGTTCCGCGATTAGTAGTAGCCGCGCAAATACACGAATAATACTCGGAATAATAGCAATATTATCAAAGAATATAGAGAAATATCTGGACATTGTGCGTTTTTTTTTAAATTTGATATTGAAGATAGTGTAAATAATATGGATGCTAAATACTTTAAAAAAATATTTGATACTATTTAAATCTACTTTATATTGTTAAAAGAAAAATTAAGGTTAATTTTTAGTCAGTGTCAAGTTCATTTTGTTCTATTTTCTGAAAATAATACAATATATGTATTTTTTGTGTTCTAAATTAGGACTTTTATTTACTCCTATTGCATAATATTGTTTTTTTTCGTGAATTATGATAAACATTATATTTATATGCCTAACAACGAGAACTCATTATTTACGTTGTACAACCATTGATTATGGTACAACCATTGATTAAGGTACAACCATTCTTCACTCAGCGGTACAACGTTATGCGATTTGAACCAATAGGGTTTTTAAATTGGGAAAAGGCGACTATAAAAACATTTAAAATTGGTATAAAATGAGTTTAACTATTCATTAGATGTCATATTTTATTAAATTATTTTGGAAAATCATTTAATTATCTTCTTATTGGAGTGGATAAAGTATAGTATTACACTCGAGATTATGCGCATTATTCACTCGGATGATTTAAGTGTCATCTGGCATCTAGGGACTCAAACCTCATCCTCATGAATAATAGCCTGCATTATCTCTCGTATAATAATATACTATTATTAAATAGGACGAAATTAGCTTGACACTGACAGAAAATTTTCCTTAATTATTTCTAACAGTCACGTGGTATTATCTCGTGGCGAAAAGCGGCGTAATAGAACAATTATATAAAGCTATTGCCTCTGCAAGTTTCGCTCGTGCCTAAAACTTGTTTTATAACTATATTATAATATACTAATTTGTACACTAATATTTTGTGTCGAATTATAATCAAATAGTAAAATGAATAGAGAAATAAGTCACAAAATTTATGGAACGCCGTTTTAGTTAATATTATTTGTTTTTACATTTTTTAAATAAAAATAATTTTTATGATTCTTTATTTATTTTTTTACAATTAATTGATTGTTTAAAAACCTTGCCTATTTATTGAATGATGAAAAAAATGTTTCCTTACATTTAAATTCTTATTTTAAATTTTTAAATTTAAATAAGGAATTAAATTTATCATGTAACAAATTAATTCAACAATCATTTAAATTTAACTAACATAAAAATGGCCACCATTTAAATGAAAAAATTAAAATTATAAACAAACAATTTAATCCAAACATAATAATGTAGCGAGTTATTTTGATTGATGAATTAAAATGATTATTTATTTAAAATGTTTGTTGAAATAAAATGTTACATAATAATTTTAAATGGAATTAATATGCTTGTTCAATTAAAAAGATTGTTGCATTAAAATGTTACATGATAATTTTAATTGGGCGTTGAAGTTTGCGGACAGATTAGGTATTAGAGCCGTTTCACATGCGACTGATAAAGTCCTGACGGTCAGTCCTGATGATACGGACTGACGGTCATGACCATTGTTTCACAAGCAACGTACAGTACGGAAATGTCTTTACTAGGGGACGGTTTTCAGCGCCTCCGGAACTACGCTGTTCCCGCTTTTTGTGTAAAGAGAATAAACAACGCAAAAAAATTCTTTTTTGCTTCTACCATTTCCGCTACTTCTTCAAATGCTATGTTCTTCACATCCCTATTTTTGTAGTTCTCATCATCTGCATACCAGATGCATCTTCGCTGTTCGATGCTACTTATTATAATTTCAGTAGGTACCTATCAATGCGTAAACTACTCATTGTGCAACACTGTTTCTGCTGATCGTACGTACTATATGAAATACTCCATATAACTAACAGCCCTTAATAGTCCTGACGGTACGCAGTGAGCACGGGCTGTCCCGATGCCCGTGCCGACGAATCAGTCAACCGATGATACGCAGTGCATGTGAAAAAGTTCATTTAAACAATGGCCCCTATTCATCAGGACTGACCATCAGGACTGATCGTCAGGACTTTATCAGTCGCATGTGAAACGGCTCTTAAGTTTGGGTCTACGCGTCTAATGTCTATGTCTAACAATCATTTTAGTTCATCAATCAAAATCACGGTCTTAAGCTTAATTTTCATGTATCCGTCATCCGTATGTCAGTTTTTCAATAAAATCGTCCGATAAGAAATGTTGTAATTTTCATGCATACGTTTTTTAATGACGTTTAACGGATTGATTTTGCGACAAATAGAAATTAAGTGTCAGTATATTCACTTACTAAATTTACCTAATGCTTAATTGTCATAGTTACAATTATGTCAACAATTGTAACTTTAACAGTTAGCTGTCTAATAAATTTAAAGGTAGGTAAATATACCTTATATAAAAAGAATATACTAGCCCTAATATACATTAAAATGTATAGTTTTAAAAAAGCAGGTCCTTTTAGTTCTAGTTTTAATTTTTGTTTGTTTGTCCTTTCTTTTTTTTCCGTTATTCTTAAAAACTTAACAGTAAAACCTTATTCACATAACGAACGTAATATTTCCGTTTTACAATCTTATTGAAAAAATATAAAAATATTTGAAAATAAATTATCTTAAAATAACGTTAGGCGTCAAAAACAGATGTGTAGTGACGGATAAGTTAAAATTATTTAACCTTTCTCTGTCAGACGTACGAAACTGAAACTTGACGGACCGATAAAATGTCATAATTTTCGAATTATAATTGGACCAATAAGAGCGCTCCCGGATGAACGGACTGACGGACAAACGGATACATGAAAATTAAGCTTTATACAGGGTTTACCATCGGCGACTTCTTTTTTCAATAGGGGCAAATTTTGATAAGATGACAGCTTTGACAATTACTTTTTTGACATATGTCAGTAAAAGCTTTGCCATTTGTAAAAATGCCTTCAATTTCAATCGAAAATCGTATTAAAATCATCGAAACCTTTAACGAAAATGGTCGTTGCGTGAAAACCACATATCGTAAAATTCGTGATATGTTTGGTCGTCATGGTCGGCCATCTGAGAACGCTATTAGGAATTTGGTGGGTAAATTGAAATCTACTGGTTCAACCAAGAACATACCAACTCCAATTCGTGTTCGTCCGGGTCGTTCAGCTGAAAATATCGCTGCTGTGAGTGAAAATGTCGAAGAAGATCCAAATCTGTCCATTCCGCGGCGTTCTCAACAATTGGGCTTATCGACAATGACCACATGAATTTTGTGTAAGGATTTATCTCTAAAACCTTATAAGGTACAGTTGGTTCAGGAATTGAAGCCGGCCGACCATTACGTTCGTCATCAGTTCGCTAATTTCATTACTGAACAATGTGCTGTTTTTTCTAAAAAAATAATCTTTTTGGACGAAGCAAAATTGTAGAATTTGGGCATCAGAAAATCCAAGGAAAGTTATTGAGAAGCCTTTACATTCTCGCCGTGTCACTGTTTGGTGTGCATTTTGGTCGGGAGATTGGACCATATTTTTATGAAAATGATGCCGGAAACAGTGTAACTGTCAATGGATTGCGTTACCGGGATATGTTGACTAATTATTTTTGGCCTATTATCGATGACATGGATGTGACCAAAAATAATTAGTCACATCATGTGAGTGACATGTGGTTTCAACACGACGGCGCCACATGCCACACTGTCAGACAAACAATGCGAACTAAATTTACAGATCGAGTAATTTCGCGTAACTCTGCAGTAAATTGGCCGCTTAGATCTTGTGATTTAACACCTCTGGACTATTTCTTGTGGGGCTATGTGAAAGATCAAGTCTATGCGGATAATCCGCTAACCATTGAGGCGTTAAAAGCAACATTGAACGTGCCATTCGTGAGATAGAGCCCCAGTTTTGCCTAAATGTGATTACAAATTTTAACAAAAGAATCGATGTATGTAGGCGTACTGACTGATATTATTTTTCATTTATAAATGGCAAACCTTCCACTTTATATATCAATAAAGATTCACAGCATTTTCATTTAAATTGCTTGTTTTATTTTGAAACCAAAAAAGAAGTCTTTGTTGGTAAACCCTGTATATATAAGACCGTGATCAAAATAATTCGCTACATTATTATATTTGAATTAAATTGTTTGTTTATAATTTTAATTCTTTTATTTAAATGGTGGCTATTTTTATGTTAGTTGAATTAACTTGTTACATGATAAAAATTTAATTCAATATTTAAATATATATAAAAAATTAAAATATAAGGAAACATTTTTTTCATCATTCAATTTAAATGGACAGGGTTTTTAAACAATCAATTAATTGTAACATAATAAATAGACAATCAATTAAATTAATTTATATTTGAAAACATAATTTTTTAATAATTTAAACCAAAAATAATTTTTATGATTCCTTATTTATTTTGTTACATTTAAATTGATTGTTTTAGAACTGTGCCATTTAAATTAATTAATTAAAAAAAATGTTCCTTTATTTTAAAATTTTTATTTTAAGTTTTAAACAGGCACGTAAAAGCTTTCAATTTAATGTAAGGAATTTAAATTATCAACAATCCTTTTAAATCATGTAACATAATAATTCAACCAACAAAAAAACAACAAACATTTCAATTCAGGAATTAAAACGTTTGTTAATAATTTTAATTTCTGAATTTAAATATTTGTTATTTCTTTTTAGTTGATTTGATATGTTACATGATATAAAATGACTGTTGATAATTTTAATTATTTCATTTTAATTCAGGAATTAAAATTATCAACAAACATTTTAATTGGGTGCTGCAGCTAGCGGGAGATATGAGTACTACTTAAAAGATTCACTTGGCAATGTTGCATCTTGAAAATCGCGAAAAGACGTGACAGCTTAGTGAAGGGATATAATCAAAGATTATTATTATCTTTGGGTATAATAATCAATGGTTTAAACGTTGCATGTGCCTAAGGTTACTTTTCTGCGATTTAATAAAGATGCGAAGTTGCCAAGTAAACTTTTTAAGTACCTAGTACTCACATTGTCTGCCATCTCCAGCGCCCAATTAAAATGTTTGTTGAAAATTTTAATTCCTGAATTAAAATGAAAGAATTAAATTTATCAACAGTCATTTTAAATCATGTAACATTTTAATTCATCAATCAAAATAATTCGCTACATTATTATGTTTGAATTAAATTGTTTGTTTATAATTTTAATTCTTTCATTTAAATGGTGGCTATTTTTATGTTAGTTAAATTTAAATGATTGCTGAATTAATTTGTTACATTATAAATTGAATTCCTTATTTAAATTTAAAAATTTAAAATAAAAAATTAAATATAAAGAAACATTTTTTTCATCATTCAATCTATAAGGGCCTTGTTTTTAAACAATCAAATAATTGTAACAATATAAATAAAGAATCATAAAAATGATTTTTATTTAAAAAATGTAAAAAACAAATAATATAATTAAAACGGCGCACTGTGTCGTATTTGACCTGTATAGGTGACCAAAAGTCGATTTCTGAAGTTGCCCTTACAGCAAAAAAATATACATAAAATTGATCATTATGCTTTTCTTGACAATGTACAACCATTTGTTTATTTATAAAATATTAATAAGGACCGTGACGTATAAAATTTTAAAACCATGCACAAACACATTTTTTTATATAAATAACTCGCGCTTGGTAAATATGCGATTAAAACTATAAATTATAATTAACAGGAGTTATATTTGGTAGATTGCTTTAAAATAAATGTCTTTTAAGGTATAACGTTAAAAATTAAAAAAATATTTTATTTTATATATAGTAATGGCCGTTCAAATTTTGTCAATTTTTTAACGTGCATTCAAGCAAACTTTTTGCAAATAGTAATGGTGCCCCAGGTTGCCCCAATTTCTTTTGTGTGTGGAAGTGTTTGTTAATATATGAATAATGGTCGTTATTAAGGATTTTGACGGGAAATGTTGAGAAACTTGGCTACACTTGATTTTATGTGTATTAGAGCTTATTTTTTTAAACTTTTGTCTTTATTTTCCGAGTTTTTTTAAATCTGGCGCCTTAAAATTAATTAAAAACATAAAAATAATAAATATATATTAATTTAAAACTAATTTTTATGGCCAATTGGCTATAAAAATAACTTCTTAACTTTCTTGCTAACAACACCCAAATTTAGCAATCTAACGGATTTGAGAAAAATGAATGGCAGATGAGGTATCTAAACAGAAATCTTTAACAGGATAAGAGTACAAGTGCGGAATCCCTTTTAGCTCTGCAAAAGGCCATTAAAAACATAAAAAAGTACGTAGAATAAAAAGTTGTAAAAATCGAAAATAATAAAATTGGTATCGTCCCAGAAAAAATTGAACACCCTGTATAAATTAAATTACAACATTAAAAAATATGTATTAATTCAAATATTTTTGTTCCCTACAAATTTTTCATGACTACAGTTGTTTCTGAGATAGGCATATGGGTTATCTTACGTGGTTCACCCTGTACTTAGCTTCTTTTAATCCTAACTAATGGTTAAATTTATTAAAAATTATCTTTTTGTATAACAAAAAAGCATTTTCAATATGTTTTTCAACAAAAATATTTTTGGTCGCCTAATCACTCTGTTTACGACATAGTGCGGCGTTTCAATAAAATTTAAGTTCAGTCTTTATGCAAAAACAATTGTATTAATTGTATGTTACAAATGTGTACAAAACTTACCTAAGCGCGCTCATGATAGCTCCAGACTTTACGTTGGCTCTGCAAGCTGCCACATACCAGGCCGGCATGCCCACCCATAATTCCAACCAGGCAACAATCGTGGGACCGTTCCAAAGTGCGAACGGCGTCCCCGCCTTCATCGCTTCCGCCAGAAGGTCGTGTCTGTAATCACGCTCCCTTTTACAGGACACACACATACATGTTAATTTTGACCCACGCAATTCTAGACATTTCTAAATACTTGCAAATATCACTATTTTGTGAATAGGAAATTAAAAAAATTACATTAAAAAAAAACCTGGGCGCACAATTTTTATCATTATTTAGATACAAAATATGTTAATTGACGGTAATGCGACATGTGCATTCGAAAAAAATATTGTTGATGTTCAAGAATTGCAAGCATTTAAAAATGGCAATAGAAACAACTTAAAACGATTTATAGTAGTAAATAATTAATATTATAGCAAAGGGTCGTATGCGCCAAAATAAAAAAAATACAGGAGAAGATAATAACGTTTTATAGTTAAGTACCTAACGTGTGTGAAAATACTAGAAATATTTACAAGAACGGAACTTTGAAACGTTTATATCTTCTCCTGTTCAATTTTTAATTGCTTTGATGCACTCGATATTAAACACAGGTTTAAGAAAAAAATTGTATTCCACACTGTCTGGAAAATAGTTTATATCAATCTTGTCAGTATCACGGCTGGAAGCCTAGTAATACTTAAACAGTATAAATTGTTGATATTTATTGCGTGACATTTAATTTCATAAATAAATTTTAGATAATAGAATAATAAAATATATTATAATATAATTACATGTAGTTACATATTATGTAACATTTTTTAAAAAATTTTAAAAAACAATTAATAAATTTTTATAATATGAAATTTAGTCCTTTTTTATATAAATTAAAAAAATATCAATATGATAGATATGATAGATTAAAGGCCAATATCTGAAGAAGAAGAAGAAGAATATGATAGTATGGAATAAAATTTCAATTGATACATGGCCGTAAAGTGATCTAACTACTCTGTTAGGTATTCCAGACTCGACTCCTTCGTCACCTCGAATTTCTAACTCGTACTATTCAAGTCACTTTCCGACCTTGTAACTTTGATTACTATATTTTAATTGCACTTGCTTTTTCTTTTGTCGTCGATCAAAATCTCCTTTCTGTCCCATTTTACTAGAAATACTCATGGTATCGCTTAAATCACCGTCGGTCATTCCAATACTGCTTTGGCTAAGGGTTAGATTGCATTCGCTTCCGACTAGATCTTTTCCTTTCACCTATTAAAATACCAACAAACAATAAAAACTGTCATTTTATTAAGTTGGTTTTTTTACCTTTTCCTTCTTGCTAAAGAACCTTCCCAGTGATGATTTGATACCTTTCTTTTTCTGCGCAGCCGCCGCTGCTGCAACCGCCGCCGACGACATGTCCCTGTTCATACTCATTCCCATGCTCATGCCCATGGTGTTTTTGTGAAGGCTTTCCTGGCTGCTATGACGAGAGGATAAGGGTGATGGTGGTGTGTGTGTCTGTCCTTGCCTAAACACACTACATTCTACGTTCTAAACTATTCTAAATACGTAGGCATGCTGTAGTTTGCAAATTTTAAAACATGCATGAATACCTATAGATGTATATACAGAGTTCATTTTTGAAAAATATTTGATTACATTGTTTAAGATATGGATATTGCCTTGGAAAACGTATAGTATTGTTGACACAAGTAAAAATGTAAGTGTTAACAATAAAACTACAAAATTATTGGAAAAATTGTTTGTTGTTAAACTATTAATTGTTACTTGTGGCAACATTATAAGCATACTTATGTTATAGTAAAAAAAATAGTTTTGAAAAAATTGATGCAATGTAACATAAAAACACTGTAATAACCTGTAAGTCATTCCATGAGGCAAACCGCTTGCCCCAGTCCTCCTTTTGTTAGAAAAATTAAATTAAAAAAAGTATTAGTACATTTTTAAATTAGACTGCGCGTCAAAATTAACGCATGATAAGTAAAAAAATTCTAAATCCAAAACGCATTTGCCAATCTTTATGAAATTTTGTATAAAAATACTTCAACTTATATCTCAAGGGTTTTTCGAGAAAATTTTAAAGGATTTTTTTTAAATAAATAAAAAATATACAGTTAAAGACTGTATTTTTGTTAGTATATTTTGTACAAATCAAACGAACAGTAACGTGATACAGCGCTTCAAAGTCGGTAAAAGTTACCCCTTTTTGATTATTTTGCTGATAAGTGGTCATTTTTGACTACTTTGAAGCGCTGTTTTTCGTTACTGTTCGATTGATTTGTACAACATTTTCAGGGTATACTAACAAAAATTCGGTCTTTGACAGCATATCTTTTATTTACTTTTTTCGAGCGTTTTTTATTATTAAATAAAAGGGCTTTAAGGATATTTTCTCGAAAATTCCTTGAACACGTAACTGAGATATAAGTTAAAGTATTTTTATCCAACATTTTGTAAAGATTGGTAAAGGCGTTTTAGAGTTGGATTTTTTTACTTTTAATGCATTAATTTTGAGCGCAGTGTATTAATAAAAAATGGGAACTCTTTTATTTTGACTAATAATCAGTATTTAAATAAAATTATTCAAAATTTGTATTATGAATTAGATTAAAAAATCATTACCTATTCATTATAATGAAAAAAATGAAAAATGAAAAAAATTCAAAGGCGGTTTCGACCAGAAACTGATTTTTTAAAAGTTAAGTTTTCAAGTTTAGGGTGCTGCCTACTTAAAAAAATTATTCAGGAATAAAGTATGTTTTACAATTTTTATTAAATGTAAACAACTATTATTAACTGATATAAACGTTTCATTTTTGAATAATTTCTGAAGCATACAAATTTGGAGTTTCATTAATTATATTATTTTTGTAGTTATACATAATATATAATATAATTTTTATGTTATGAGGGTGTAAATTGCAATGGTCTATGATCCTTGGGTAAATTGCACCAATCACATTCTAAATTAGAACATTTGGTTTTTCAAACATGATAACAAAACATAATCGTTCTTAACTCGATTCGGTTCGAAAAAATTCTGTCTTAAACAGTGGATCCTGTGAGATATAGCCAAAAATTCGAAATAAAAAAAATTCTTACCTTCTAAGTTCCTCCTGACTATGGGCCAGTGCCTGGGCCACCCTTTCCAAGCGCATAGTTCTGGCTGTGAGCGGTGAGGCACCACCTCCGCTGCTGCTGTCGCCCATGTGCATGTCTTCGCGCGACATATCCGACGACAATGGAGCCAACTGGAGCTGAATATAACAAAATTTAATTAACAAAAACCAACGCGAAACAGTCATGCGTTTAACAAGTACATGCCGCTAGTGAGTAAAGAAATGTGTGCGTGTGATGTGTTCTGTCAAAGCCAACAAAATACTTTACCAAAGTGGTGAACACCCCATTTGTTATGCACCATTTTACTCTGTATTACAAGCCTGTTGGTTAATGTGAAAAATAAAAGTGTAATGAAAGCTGCCAACAAACTTGCACAAAACAATTGGTTGTGGAGATACTGACGCTATGGAGGTGTTACCAATATACCGGACGTTAGTGTGTTAAACAAACCTGACTAGATGGCAATGATTCGGATAAGGCGCCAGGACTCAATGTAGAATGATAATGTTGCAAATGCGCTGGAGACATTGATGCAGGTGCCTACAACATCCATACGTTCACAACCCCCCACAATTTTATTTTTGGATCTGGGTCAAATAAGTTAATATCTGTTTGTGCAAGTTTACATCTAACACTATAGCATATGCATATAGCCCAGTGCCCCTAAAGTCTATTAATTTAAACGACGGACAAACGAACTTGGTGGTGGCGTGATCTACGCGTGATTACGAATTAACAGGTGGACAGCGGGGTCTCTATTGGTCAATTCGAAAGTGGTGGCTCGTGTCAAAGCCCACCGAAATTCTCCAGGGTCTCATTCCGTCATTTCGGATGTTTATTTACTCGGTTTGTCTTGTTGTCTATTGTTACTATACTATATGTTATTATTTTTATCCTTATTTTGTTGTTATTGCCGACTAGTTCACAAAAGCGATGTGTAGTACGGATACTTTAGCTTCAAATGCGGCCCTGACAGTTTAGTTTCAGTTAGACAATCACGTGCAAAGTGCGTGATTGCATTTAATTTACTCCGTCGGTTAAATTAATAGACTATAGTAACATTCATTTTTTGAACCAAGTAGAACATAGTCAATTTTTAGGAAAAATAATTGAATTGTTGTTTTTTTACTATTTGCAAATAGTTACGCCACTTAGCGAAAAATGCGACGATATGTAATGCCATGTCATTGGCATTAAGTATCAATCTTAAATACATTTCCGGTTTAGCGGTGTTTTGTATGCTCCTAGCTTTTTAACCTCATGGGGCTATCAATTGGGTGCTTGTTACCTTAATTGTTTGTTTTCAATACATTTTTTTCCAAAATTGACTGTATACACATCATTTTAAAATTTGACTGCTCTCAAATTAAGTTCTGTATAATAAATACTCTTGATATTGCTGTAACAAGATATTTACATATTTATTTGTCCCAACCAGGCTCTATCGCAGAACTGAATGATATTGTGCAATATGTCGGGAATGATTGCATGCGTAATTAGATAAGAATTCACCACCATCAAACAATTTAAACTATTTTATACACATTTAAACTGATTCGTACAGATAAATCGAGATGCTTTGATATATTTTAAACTTTATAATTTTATAAACTACATACAACTACATACCCAGTTAACAAATTAAATCCAAAATTGGGCTAATATTCCTATAGATTGAATTTTATTTGGTAATAATAATCTATCTACATCCGCAGAAGAGTACATTTTTACCTCATACAGGGTGGTCAAAGGAACTTTAATAGAAAAGTTAACATTTAAGAAAAAATAATGTTTGCTAAACTAAACAACATATTTTATTGAAATTAGGTGTGTTGTATTTTATTAGATGCCATAGTTGGGTGTTAAATTCGTTTTCACACTAGAAGCAGTGGCGTCACTATGAGGGTGATAATATATCTTTTTAGAGAAAAAAAGGTATGCCAATGATCTTTAAAAAATGTTTCTACATTTTTAAAATAAGCAGTTGATTTAAAAAAAATTCCTCCTGCAGTTTTTCCGTAAACTTTTCATAGTACAATTGCAATTCAAATTCACTGTAATTAAATTTTATCGTATTTCCCATATGCCATCTAGTTTGGTCTCTTTAGATAATAAAAGGTATGAATGATGGTAATGATCTAATCATTTTTTTACATTTCTGAAATACACAGTTGATTTAAGAAAAAGTAAAATTTTAATTAGTGAATTCATGCTTAGTAATTTAAAGCAACCAATCAAGAATATTTATTTTGAAAAAAACTAAATTAAAAACAACACTAAAAAATATTATAACAGAAACCTATATTTCAATTATTATTATAATGGAGGAGTTGTATAAAAGGTTCACCACCAACATTGATTAAAAAACTAGACGGATTATGATAATGAATTGGAATTGACATTTTATTGTGAAGCGATAAATTTTCCGAAAAAACTCATGATCATTGGGGTACCTTCCTTTTTATCTAAAAATAGATATTACCATCATAGTGACACTTATAGTATGAAAACGCATTTAATGCCTTACTATGGTACAGTTGTATTAATTAGCGTACAAGAATTAGATTAAGAAAAAACTCTCACCGTAATATTGTTTAAAACCAGCTTATCATTGAAATAAGTCGTTAAAATAATTATTATAGTTTATAAAGAATACAGAGCATTGACTTTGGCGGTTAATCAAATAAAATTATAAAGATTATTGTTCTTATTTATACATATTATGTGACGCGCTTATCCGAAGTAAGAAATAATTTTTCTTAAACACTTTGCATGTAACAACGCGCTAATTTACCTGTTTTTTTCTGTTTATTTTTATTACCAATAAATAATAAAATAATTATTTTGATTTAATTTTCGTTACATGTGTATGTATCATAATATATTATATTGTACATCATTTTACATTTTTTAATTATATTATGTGAAAATGTTTTGTCAAAAATACCTATATTTACTGAATATACCTATAGCTTTCAGTTATTTTCAACACGCCTACGAAACTCGCGCAAGATGCAAAATGTTTAAATTTTATTTAATTAATCCCCGACGTCAATGCCCTGCATTTTAAATAACCTATAATTATTATTTTAACGACTTAAGTCAGTGATAAGCCAGTTTTAAGCAATATTATGGTACTTGAAAAAGGACAACTTTGGTGATATGAGTATGAGTATAAGAGACGTATAACCAGCCCCATTTCATCATCACTCCCGGACCCCGTACAGTCCTATGTTTACTTACGCCGATTTATGTTCGCCCCCAGCATCTGTTACCAAATGTTACCAACATTGGAAGAAAACGCCTAACTTATAATGCTACTAAACTTTTTAATGAACTTCCCAATGAAATAAAAGTTTTATCAAATCTACAAACCTTCTCAAAGGCTTAAAATTTAATGTATGTGATATTAACAAGTTAAGACTTAAAATCTAATGAATGTGATATTAATAATATATTAGGGGACAGTAGGGAACGCAATGGACACTCGCACCCAGCAAACACGGGTGAAGCCGTGCAGTTTTTTTTTATTTATTTATTTATTAAACCCAAAAAAACATAAATGTTTATAACAGGCATAAAATACAACAATATATATATATATATATATATATATAGGCAATCAAGATTATTACTAGTATCACATACAATTTGAGTCTTAAATTAGTAATAGAATTATTATAATAATTCTATTACTAAGTACGAAGCGGAATCCCCCTAGACCAGTCGATTAGTATTACTCCAAACATTTGGGATTACTATTTGGAGTTGGGGAGTTGTTATTTCGCTGCAGGGGTGTAGTTTCCTAGTTTCCATGTCCTGGTCAGATAGTTCCTGCACTTGGTAAAGTGTGTCAGTTGTTTTTTTACGTTTGGGATTAATGTTTGGAGTTTGGGAGTTGTTAGTTCGCTGCAGGGGCTAGTTTACTGGTCGTGGTCAACGTCTTGACCGTTATTGTCTCTGTCCGTGTCGGGTTGTTCCTGCACTTGTTATTGTCTTGTTTCAGCTGTTTTCTTTCGCGTTGCAATCTTAACTTTGTATTAAACAGTTGGTGTGCATTGATACGATTTGACCGTTACCGGTGGGAGGTATTTTTGACTTCCTCTGAATACTAATGTAATTACCAATTCCATTAGAATTCGTTTTTTGTATTATCTGTGTTTATGTTTTCTTATTGAATGTTTGTTTGGATTTAAAGTGTTTGTTAGTATAGTTTCGTTTAACGGTTTTTGTTGGGCCGTTTTCTTTAATTTATGGGTTTAGTCTTTGTCGTTTGTTATTGATAGATTTATTGCCTTATTCAGCTTTCCTATGTCCGAGTTAAGAGTTGGGGCGGTTTTGTTTTATTTGTTGTTGTTTTGTTAATATTAGGTCATGCAGATTTTAGGGTTACTTATCGAGAATTGCTAATTGGCCTTTCCTTCCTTGGTTATCCTCTTTTGTTTGTCACGTGAAAACCATCTAAATGCGTGGCTAGACCGCGGTCGACCACCCGTAAGGTGTCACTCTACACCTCCACTTTAACACATCCCTGACCTAAGGGTGGTCTACACACACTAGTTGCCACCCTACAGACTATTTGCACTTTGTAGCAATCATTGCGAGCTTTGCTGTTTGTAAGTTTTAAGAGCGTGGCACTGCCAGATGCGACCTATACGAGAACTCGAACGTGACTGAGGACAACTTTGGTGATATGTTAAACAAATATTAGAAATATTCCCCAACACCCATGTTGGCATCTTCAGAAGCGCTTCTGAAGATGCCAACATCGTTGGCGAAAACTACTTTAAGCACTTTGTGTTTTGTTTTGGTGTTGGGGAATATTTCTAATATTTTTTTAATATTATGTTGACAGTTTTCTGGTATTCTAATTCTTGTACGCTTTTTTTAATACAACTGTTACATTACCTAATAAAAAACAATATTCCCCAAATTTTAATGAAATATGTTCTTTAGTTTAGGAGAATTATTTTTTTTGAAAAAAATATTTGCGACTTGTATTTCTAACGGTTAAGTTTTCTATATAAATTTATTAAGTAAATTAATATTATTTTAATATTTTTTATTGATTCTCAAATTATTAAAGGACCCTTTTGGACCACCATGTATATTTGCATTGGCAATTATTGGGCAGAATAGTAAAAATGTTTAATACTAAGAATGATACCAAATTTAAGTAAGAACTTAAGTAATTCATGAAATGCTCCAGTCAAGTCCCATTACTGGTAAAATATAGAATTCATAAAAACGTCTAATAATGGGCTGATTCTATGTCTGCAGCAGTTAGGATGGCACCAAAATTGACCAACAAAGTAGGCAATATTCAAAAGCCAACCCTGCTTAAAATACCCCATAGAGACCCTGTTCAAACCGATAGATATTTGTATCGGGATGTATGGTGTTTCTATAGGGTGTATCGGTTTGTATAGGACCCATAGTTGAGATTTATGGTTGTTCTATAGGGATATCCACCATTGATTTATTTGCTATCGGTTTCAATGGGGAAAATACACATAAATGTAGAAATTAGTTTTTTCCCTATAGGACCCCATAGGTTTTAATAAAATTTTGTCAAATGTTTTATGGTTGCTCTATAGGGATATCCCTATATATCCTTCATTAAGTTATTTTCTATCGGTCTCAATAGGGAAAATGTAAAAGTTATGGTGTGCCTATAGGTAATTTCCTATACATTTTCTATCGGGCTGTATCCGGAAAAAACCATGGACAAATGCACATATTGAATCCGGTAGCGCCCGATAGATTATTTTGTATAGGTCTCTATGGGGTATTTTAAGCAGGGAAATGCGCGGGGTTAAAATTTTATACTTTTGGATCAAATTTTTGGGTTACTGGGTAAATAAACACATACATAAGCAAATTGTTAAACTTATTTCAAGTGTAAGTCTATTCTATATCTAAACCTTTTGGGAAAATATAAGCATAAGAATCAATTACTTTTCAATTGGGCAAATTTAATTTACTTAAATAATGTAATATTTAGACATTTTATGGTTGAATGGTCTTGGTTTTGCATGCACAATTTCAAATAAGACAAGGCAACAAAATGGAACTAATAATTTTTATATAAAATAAATGTTTCCTTCTAAATTGTTATAAATTAGGTATAAAAATATTGTCAAGTTAGCAAGAAAAAACACATTTAATACTTTGTGAAAAAACACATTTAATACTTTGTGAAATTGATAAATTTGTTTTTTCATGTTTAATTAAAATTACAAGTTTTATTTTATTGTGGTTTTAAATATTAAATATTTGAATCGGTGAGTTCAAGAACAGTACAAGTCCTAAATTTAGAATTTTTACAAATTATTTTTATAGTTTAAAAAGGATTTTTGTAAGAAATTTTTCAACTATTGTACAAAATATGGTTTATATTTTATAAAATAGTTAAAATATTCTCAAAAAAATGCATTTTAAACTACAAAATAATTTTATAAAATAACTTGTAAACAATTTAAATTTTTGACTTGTACTGTCCTCAGCGATTCATTTGGACAAAACAGTACTCAAATAGATTCACCATGGTGAATTCTTTGGGTTAAATAAAGAAAGCACAGGGGGAATATTTAGTATATTTAATGGCCCAGTAGTAGCGGTAGCTCACCGTGTGATACTTATGCAAATAGTCCCTTTGTGGCGAATGATGCGACTTAGGCGTCGATCTACCGCTTACAGGTGGACTTTGTCGTTCGAGGCTCCGACCGCGGGCCAGAAGGTTCATGTGCTCCATGCTGCCGACCCGCGATTCCAGCTCTTCGGCGCGCGCCTCTGTCGTCTGTTTCTCTTCCTGGATTAGCCGGATCTCGTTGTTGATAGCGTCCAGCTGGTCCTGCAGCATCATAGCCAGCGTCTGGGCGTCGGTGTGCCCGGATGGCGACAGCATGTCGGCCGTGCTAAAGATGCTGTCGTTGTCGTCACCTAGATAAAAATCTTATCGTGGAAAATCAGAAATAACTTAATACCGTTAACGAAACGTTTTGAAAGCTTTACTTAATAATTCGATACTATCCCATTTTAATAAGGCTGTTTTAAGACAGTGCGATATTGACTTTGTTATGTTTAATAACTATTTATGTTATTTTTGATTATCAGAGAAGTGATAATTTTTGACCCATTATCGGGTTCTTGATGTAACTTAACAGGCTGTTAAAACAGTAACTTTTGGTAAAATGTTAGTGGTGGTACCACAAAAAAGAAGAACGTTTGGATAAGGGTCATATCTCTGTTATACCACAGCAGGTCCACTCAGGCGAATATTTTTAGACGCGAGTATTTTGAATCGAGCGTTTGTTGGGTAAAATCGGTCGTAAAAAAGAGGTGTATTTAAATTATAAATTTAAGTGTGTAATGCGTTGTGCAGCCAAAGGCTGTATGAACACTTATTGCAATTCTTCCCATGGTTAAAATATTCAGAAGTAAGAATACTTTATGGACATTATTTTTGACACATGACCGTGAAAAAAAATAAAATGAAATTACCGCTAAAATTCAACGATATTTCTGTGTGTACCACGTACTGGATGGCGATCGCACATGGTTTTTTTGTAACATGTTGTTTCTCTATGAACGTGCTTGGCTATAAAATATACGTCAATCACATATTTGCCCCATTCCACGCCAAATTGACCACTTTCGAACCCAACCCCTTTCAATTTGGCTAAAATTTGTGTATGTTTAACTCAGGGTTGGCATGTTTAAAACAAAACCTATAGGTATCCCAAAAAACGTATAAGAATTAAAAAAAAAACATAACCTTTAATAAATAAATACCTAATTGAATTTATTTCATTATTAAATCATGGTTTTATATTCGGGTATTGTTTTTCGAGCCGACTGATATCAGACATATGTCTCTATGAAAACAGTTTGAAAAATAAGTGACTTGTGACCCTGGAGGGACAAAATCGGAATCCCAGCACAAAAATACGCTGGTCAGTGCCAAATACATAAAGTTTACAATAGATTGATTAATTTAAGAATGTTTTCCACAATGGATGGGTGAAATAGTTAAAGAAATATTAGTGCATACAGCCATCTGCCATATGGTGCATGGTTGGAATTGAACGATAAAATGGAGTTTTAGCAACGAAAAATGTATTTATTATCTGTGATTTTATGGAAAACTAACTGAAGAAATATATGAATAAATTCTTTTTTAATGTATGCAATAATTAAATGGTTTGGACCAGTGGAAGATATACATATATAAAGTATGAAATTATTGTTTTATTAGACATACTCTTGCATACTGGTATTATTAATCAGTGACCATGGGGTTTGGGGTACAATCCCCCCAGCCTCATAATTTTAAAACAAACAAAAATAATAAAAAGACTATCTTAGATTTCTCATCCCCCCCAGACAAAATTTCTGGGCGCGCCACTATTAATAATAGTATTAATACAATAACTATTGTTATTGGTAATATTGTTAATATTAAGATGTCCCCATTTTACTTTTAATTTAACTACGTTTTATTTCTTTTTTTTAATCCTACTTATAACCTCACATAAGGTATAGATAATTAGGGGCAACCAAATTATGCGGGCGCATAATCGCATATTTTTTCAAAAGTGCAGATATTATCAATTTTTAAACACTTTGGTATGTTATGAGTCCAGTATGCATCATTTCCAGTCCGCATAATTTCGCATAATTCGATGTCGGTCACCGCATATTGCATTTCCGCATATTATGCGCATAATATCACATATTGTCGCATAATTTACGCGTTTTCTGGTTTCCATTTGGCCAAAATCACTTTTAATGCACAGTACATTTCGAAAAAACCAAAACTGGTCTTAATGAGGTACCTGGGGAGAAACAGAAAAAAATTCTGCAAAGAATGAAAGATGTTTGCACCTCCTGCTGTGACTAACTGAAAAAAATGTTGCAGGAGGATACTGCGAAGGACTTCTTTGAGTCCTCTCGTTTTTTGTTTGACTCCTGTAAGTTGACTAATCCTCTTTTAGCTGAAAGTTTTATTGCAGCAAAAGAAAAAATAAGTCTATTGTCTTCCATCCCATCATCAAATTTTGTAGTGTTACACTCTATTTTGGCAGATGCAGTCAAAGAAAATTCTAAAGATAAATCTAAAAAAGGTGAGAAAGAGGATCTGGTGCTTTGTGCATTTATTTCTATGATTAGGGAATATGTAAATTTCGTGATACCCTGTGTGCAAGTGTTCCATGTGTCTGTTTCAAATGTGGACACTAAGAGAGGCTTTAGTGCTTATGGAGACATATTTTCCTCCAGGAGGACTACTCTCACAAAGTATAAAGTTGAGGCAATGATGTGCATGTATTTTGGCAGCAAGTTGGAAATGGAGCACTTTAATTGTGATGGAGATGTAGTAGATAACTTATCTACTATCTAAGATAAGGATGAATCAATGCTTGACTTAAATGACAATGTGATGTGAGTGTGGTGAATAGTCTATTGTGACTGTAATGTAACATTACTAATGTTGTAATTGTTATCTTAGATAACTTATCTATGTTATGTATGTAACATGTTTATGTTGACTTTTAAAGATTTGACTAGTCTGCTCTTTTATAAAATACTATATGGAAAATAAAATACTACTTAGTTTAACTATCACTCACTTGTTTTATTAACGTGTGTGACCTGCAGTTCCCTATTCAGATTTTTTTTTAAATGAAAATTATGCATTCTTAACTCACTATTTCCTTCCAAATCTATAAAGTACACATACTTTTCGCTTATTTCTTGATTTCTGCCCGAATAATTTCGCATAATTCCTTATTTTTGCCCGCATAATTGGCGCATATTTTTCCAATTTTGCCCGCATAAAATGGCACAATTCCTGCGCATAATTTGAAGTTTTCAAACGCATAATTTAGTTGCCCCTATAGATAATGTAACAAAAAACTTTGGCGAGGTGTAGGTTCAATTTTTTCTTATATTCTTATGAATATTACCAGTGATGGGTCAAGAAAGTTTCTTAAAGAAACTAAGAAAATTGAATGTTTACGATAATGTACTTACTTTTTAATCATTATTAATTAATTTTTCGATAATAATAATTATATTTATATTAAAATAAAGGCTGATTCTCATAAGACGTGCAAGGAATCGAATTGGCAACGGCAAGGCACATGCTCGGCATGGGCAAGATTTTCTGTGGCAATTCACATTGCGAGAGACTTGCTGCGGGTTAGTAGTCTCTAGCTTTGTAAAAAGTGATTCTCTCGACTTTCACGTTAATAAGAATTACTATAATATTAGATGAACATGAAAAAAATATTGCAGAAAGAGAAGATAGTTTCGCCGAGTTGATGCCTTGCTTATGCAGGAAAGTGAGAATTGCCTTGTACGTCTAATAAGAATCAGATTTAAATTGATTTTGATTTGATTTAAGACTGGTAAATTACCAGTAGGTCGGTGGTTTAAATCTTTTGGCCACCATTTTTTTAAAATATTATATTTTAATAAAATTCATACTTATGTATGAATAAATGCATTTATATTAAAATAATTAATTGTAAAATATTTACAAAAAATGCATCTAAAATATTGAACAATTAAGGAATTTACGAGCTTGATAAAAATATTAACAGGTCCGACCGAACCTGATTTATTAGTACTAGCTGAGACCGAGAACAAAATAAATTCTCGACCGAGACAAAGTATAAAAAAATCTGAAAAATATACAAAAGTGCACAATTTGTTAAAAAAATCGTTTATTATTACGTAATTTATATTTGGTCATTGACAAGTTATCAATGTCTATTTAAAATAATGTACATATAGGCCATCCCAATTATTGCCCTGCTTGATAGCTTTAATGCATGTAGTTATAATGTAAACTCGGAAGAGATTAACATTTACTTACCTATTTAAATACGTTCGCAGCATAAAGGTAATGGTTACTCACGGCCAAAACGAGAAAGAGCTCAGAGTAATACTCACAGCTACTTTTCGTTTTGGCCGCGCATGCTTACCGCTTTGAATTTCCGAGTTCTGCGAAGTCTCGGGCATGGCCGAGACCGAGATCTCGGTTGGACCTTAATTAACAATCACAAAAACATATAAAATATTTGCTAATCTGTTAAAATTGATTGATTGGGCCATTTAATCGCAATCATAAACAGCAAATATATATAGTGGGGCAAATAAACCAGTAAACGTATCAGCTTGCCATCTAATTAAAACTAAAACTAGTTTCTTTTTTGGTAAAATTTTTAACAGAGCCCGTTAACAGGAGAGTTACATCAAGACCCCGAAATTTGGGGCTCGAATATCTATAAAACACAATCTCGGGAACTGCAATTTTGATTTGGCAAGTTTGAAATAACAAAATAGATATATAAAACAAACAAAAAATACATATTTATATATATTAAGTGTTTTAAGGGTGTCTAAACTCAAATAAAATAAACGGTGTTACTCTTTGGTGTAAGATATAAGAAAAATATTAATTGCGGTTTAAAGTACATTAAATGGGTAACATTAAGTTTTTAATATTACACCATTTATATGTTGCATTTTAGACAAAGCACATATCTGGTTGTACCGCTTGCAAGCAAAATTGCCGCTTTTAGGGGCGGAATCAATCGACATGAATTTAAATCTTCATTGCATACAGAAAAATTCGCTGTTTGGTGTTGCATGGGGCCAAAACAAGAGTGGCTTTAACTGCTTTTTTTACCCAAAATTGCACGATACAATTGTTTAAACATGAACAGAATGGTGGAACATGCCACACACCGAGTAATTTACTGGGTTGTTGCAAGAAAAGTTACTAAACGGCATCATTTTGTAAAAAGATGATGTGCATTGTTTACCAAGATCATGCGATTTAACGTCCTCTCCGGGGTTACCTACATCTACTATTAATAAAATTATTGTGAAATCCAACTTTATTTATCTAACACAGTCAAATATAGACCTCTTTTTTTTAAACGATTGTATTGAATGTACTTAAAAAGCAATAAATATGTTTTGATTAATCTTACAATTTTGAAACCATAATGAAAAATCTTTTAAAATAATAAATTTAAAATTAAAATAAGTTACCTTCAGCATCGCTGGAGACATCGAAAGCTTGTTGCACATTGGCCAACACGTGGGCTTGCTGCATCTTTTCCCATTCGTGTTCGGTCATGGACCGTGACCCGTAAGGCGGAAGCTTGGGCTCCTCGTCGATAGGCGTCCGGCACTTGTTGGGCCTGCGTGGCAGCGAATGCGTATCGAAGCTGGAGTGACTGGCGCTGCGCGAGAAACTCTTTGGATCGCACGTGTTCGGCGAAAGAGAGCGCGTTAACGCGTCCGTCTGCTGGATGTTGTACGCGATCTCTTGCTGCAGCATCTGGCGTTTCACGTTGTCGATTTCCAGGCGTGATTTGGCCAGCTCCTTCATTATATCGCCTTTCTGGCATTCTAGTTCTTCCATCATCTTTCTTGTTTTGTCAAGCTCTTGAGTAAGGCTGTTCTTTTCTTGCAACGCGTGCATTCTTTCTTTTAGATGATCTTGTAGCCTAAAAATATTACCAAATTAAAAATGTGTAGTTACATTGTTTTTAATAATTATTAGTGATGAGCCAAACAGCAATTTAAAATGCTACCGTGATTGCAAATTTTAATATTTGTTAGTGCGATATTTAATAACGGCAATTTTAAAGCGCTGACGCGATCGCAACCTTTAACCACTAACAAATAGTGCGATTTTTCACCATTTAGGAGGCAAGTCAAGTTTCGTATTAGGCAATGCGTAATTTATTTTGCTGCTACATGTTTATCCCACTCGCCTGTGTAAAGTTGGAACTGCTGAAAAATATTTATTTATTGACACCAAGGAAATCATAAAATGTAGGTACAGTGGAGAACACGGAATTTCGAACATCATAATTTGGTCGTCCTTGTATAAATCTATAAATAATAGATACAATAATGACAATTTTTGCTTTTGCTGTCAAAATTACAAGAATAGTATAAACCGGGAGTAAGGTAATTTGTCGTAGAAGGAAGTTTAGATTTTAATGTTAACGGGATGATAGTTCTTCATTCCGTGTAACCCAAGGTACTATAAATTATAATACATTTTATATATTTATATAATTTATTACTTTTCTTAAAAAATAAAAAGATAAACAAAATATAAAAAATAATAAACTCGTTAGAGGCGGTTTTGCTTATTTTAAAAAATCGCATTTGTTTACGATATTCGTGCTATTTTTAAGTAACACATATTAAATCACCGTAAGCAATATTTTTTTCATCACTTATAATTATAGAGGAACATGTTCAGTAAAAATTAAGTAGTTATATTATTAGGGTGTCTAGCGGACTAGCGGGAAAAAAATCTAGTAGGTACATTTCCCATAATTTCCATTACAATTTCAAATTTTAATTTATAGAATAATTAAAGCCGCAGATAAGGATAGCAAATCAAAAAGGAATAATAATTTTATTGTATTTACAATGTTTATGATTTAGTTAAGTTTCTTATTATTTCATAACAAACAATACATCGAAATCGAAAATAGCCTAAGGCAACATCGCGCTCTGATTCGAGCCTAATAATGTTATTTTTTACGTAAATGTTAAGGATAACATAATATTAACTGTCTGTTAATAGTTATTTACGTGTCAAGCTTTGAAAATGAATCTTTACGGGCGAGCTGGAAGTTTGCGGGGTGAGCGACGCAGGAAAGAACCCCATAACCCAGTGAGCCTAGTAAAGATTAATTGCAAAGCGTGACACGTACAAACTTTTATTTTCACCTCTAGAAAACTATTTTAAAATTTTAAAGTTTTAATTAATGTCTCAAATGTGACATTTCATTTCATAAATAGCTTTTCTACAAGCCTGTAAAACTTTAGAGGTCTTTTATACAAGCCCGTAAAATATTACAGGTCTGTTCTCATAATGTTTTGTTTACTTGAATACAAAAACAACAAAATTAACCTATACGCTAAAGAAGTATCGGGCTTTCGCAACGCGCTTCATCTGGTGGACTTCAAAAGCATTGCGTGAATTTAAGAATTGTCAACAATACATTGAAAGCATATGAACTGTACATTATTTTTAATAAATAGGTAGTTTTTTCACAAAATAGAGAGAAGTCTTACTCGACAAATTTTGTTCAATTTCACAGCTAAATCGCGCACTTTATTTGTGTTTTACGCAGTGGCGGTTGGTGGATTTTGGGTATACCAATATTTCAGTTATTAGACATGGGACCCAAACCAAATTTATAATAGTTTATAATGACATTAAATAGACAAGTTCGGCGCAAACAGAATTTAAATTGAAGTTTAGTTAGTTTTTCGTGTCGACTCACCCGCCTCCAGGCCCCCTATTTAAGATAATTCAAATTAAAGTGGTGCAATTTATTATCTACTATAGTAGATAATAAATATAATATATATAATTTATCGACAAATTTAAAATTTTATTTAAAAAATCCAAATATTACAGTTTTTATACCATTTAAAATAATTAATTAATTGTAATAAAATAAATAATAAAAATTTAAAACCGAATAAAATCTCTAATATTTGGATTTTTTAAATAAAATTTTAAATTTGACGATAAATTATAGTAGATAATAAATAGCACCACTTTAGTTTATATTATCTCAAATAGGGGGGCCTGGAGGCGGGTGAGGCGACAGGAAAAACTTTTTTTCGCAAACTTCAATTTAAATTCTGTTTGCGCCGAACTTGTTTATTTAATGTCATAATAAACTATTATAAATTTGGTGTGGGTCCCATGTCTAGTAACCCTGCTTAAAATACCCCATAGAGACCCTGTTCAAACTGATAGATATTTGTATCGGAATGTATGGTGTTTCCTTAGGGTGTATCAGTATGTATAGGACCCCTAGTTGGGATTTATGGTTGTTCTATAAGGATATTCACCCTTGATTTATTTGCTATTGGTTTCAATAGGGAAAATACACATAAATGTAGAAATCAGTTTTTCCCCCATAGGACCCTATAGATTTTAATAAAATTTTGTCAAATGTTTTATGGTTGTTCTATAGGGATATCCCTATAATATATATATATATATATATATATATATATATATATATATATATATATATATATATATATATATATATATTATATCCTTCATTGAATTATTTGCTATCGGTCTCAATAGGGAAAATGTAAAAGTTATGGTGTGCCTATAGGTAATTTCCTATAAATTTTCTATCGGGCCGTATATCCGAAAAAAACCATGAACAAATGCACATATTGAATCCGGTAGCGCCCGATAGATTATTTTATATAGGTCTCTATAGGGTATTTTAAGCAGGGAACTGAGATATTGGTATACTGTATGTATAATATGTATAATACATAAAATCCACCAGCCGCCACTGGTTTTACGTTGCAAGGAAAAAACAAAAAAAAACTGGTTTAGTACTCGATTACGTTAGTGTATGTATTTTATCTAAGGGATCATGGTGAATTATTGTGTTTTTAATTGTAAATAAAATTCAAAAACTAAATCGTTGCATTTCCATGTTTTGCCCAAGGATCCAATTCGGTAAGTTGTTGGTGCAGAATTAATTAATGATAACTTTACCTAATATAATTTATATTTAAGTTAGGACATTTTTAAGAAATAAGTAAAAAATATTTTTTGCACAAACATAACCTTAAAATCATCCATTTTTATATTTGAGTTCTCTAAAAAACGCCGACAGCTGCATTTTAAACAACAAAATATACCTACGTATTCATGGCAACATAATATTATATATAATACATAATAAAATGGTAATTTACCGTTAAGTGGACACTAAAGAATTCTTAATCAACGCTTTTAATAATGCTAAATGCTGTTTAAATTTAGACGACTTATTTGACGATTTTTACTGAATTGAAATATTTACACTAAAATGTGTATTTATTGTATCTAACACTAATTTTTTCCACTAATTACGAGGCTTAAGCCTCATTCAGAACCTCGTAATTAGTGTAAAAAATTAGTGGTTTCAATTATACTTATAATTATATACACCCAACAACACAACAAATCGTGCCATGTTTTTTTCCGTTATTTTTTTTTAACAATTTGCGGCTTTATTCTTAAAAACATTCGTTTGTAACACACGCGTTTGACAGCTGATTATCAAAAGTTGTACTTTTGTTACGATGATAACAGCCGAGTGGTGGCGCTACTAGCGATACTTCTTTAGCGTATAAAATGTCATTTACTAAGAAGGTGGAAATAAAATAACATAATGTTATCTGTTTGCTATTATCTAAGCACATTTGCGCTCTGTCAGCAACATAATGTCATTTTTTTTCATAACAGACAGTTAAGATTATGCTATATTCTTACAGAATAGCACCATTAATTTGTTTTGACTACAGCGGAGCGCGCTGTTGCCATATGCCATTTTTAATTTACTAAAATGTATTGTTTTTTTATTAAATAGTAAAAAAATTAACTAAATCATCGTCTAACTCGCAGCAGAGCACTAACAGCAGAAGACCTGAAGATGGTACATGAGATTGTACCGAAACGTCGTCAGACATACGGTTCTTTTAAGAACCAAAAACCGACAACACGGAGCAGATCCCGAAAAACCACTAATATATATATATATATATATATATATATAAATAATTTAAATAAGTGTGTAGCAAAAAGGTAACGATTACTCAGATCACGTTCTAATTTTGACCGCGCATGGCCAAGAATCTCGGCCTTTTTTTGCCGAGGATCTTGGCCTTTTTTGCCGAGAATGTACATTAAAAAATTTCCTGTACATTTTCCGCACATTTCCTGCCCGCTAGCTACCCTGATTATTTTCCTTTTTCAAAAATAACAAAAATTATTGTCACATTAACGTACTTGGCTTCAGGACAATTTTAAGGGAGATTTGGATAAAAATAAGAAATACACTGCAATAACCAAAATACCTTATTTGTACTTAATTCCCTTCTTTAGAATCTAAAGTTTATATTTAACATGAGCGTTTCAACTATTGTTGATTTTAAATAAAATTAATTGTTAAGATTTTATATTTATAAACAAGGCAAAAGACAAGTTGGAAATGTCAAATATTCTTATTCATAAATATACCGTACCTATCATTGGACTCTGACAGCAGTTTGTCCACCGTGGCGGAAAGACGGGAGTTATGGTCTTCGTTCATTTTAAGTCTTTGATTAAGGCGAACCATTTCCGTGTTCTTTTCATCCAAATTACCCTCCAATCGCTGGATGCGGTCTTCCGCAGAACCGTGTCTTTCCTGAGCCTAAAAATTTTGCGTAAGAACGAAAACAGAACTGAATTAATAATAAAATGTTCCAATGAGTGATATAACTAGCTAGCTAATTTAATATTAATTTAAGTTTAGTTTTCTATATTTTATAGCATATATACATTAAAGCTTCTATTGGTTATGTGATTAATCTAAAATTGTCTTATGTGCATTAATTTAAATCAACAATTATTTATATCGCCCTTGTGAAAATTTTTCTTTGAAAAAGTTTTAATAAGTAAAAATAAGGGTTTTGAAAGTCAATCTTTCTTTTAAAAACTCTTATTAATAATTATTCGAAAAAAGTAAGAATATGACTTATTAAATCTTTAAAACTTAGAATAAGTCTTAGTAAGTCATACAAATAGCAAGATTCTTTCGGAAGAGTTAAGAGCAGGGAAATGGTAGGTACCTATAGCGATAAAAAAATATCCGAAATTATTCAGAGAGGTTTTATTTGGTAATTGTAAAATAAAACACGAAGAAAAGTGTTTATTAACATTTTTTGTGTGTTGATATAAGCCAAGTTTATTTCATAATTACTTATATAATTTTTCAAAACAGGGCGAATGCGTTAGTAAATTTAAAATATACCTAGTTTTTTTACTATTGCTGATAAAATCGGATATTTTGTAATTTTTGGTCGGGAACTTTTATGAGTATCATCCGGCAACACTGTACGTTCCATGAAACAGCCATGCATGAAAGCAAGTCAAAGTTCGAAAATATTTGTTATATGAGTTCGGCTGTCGAACACATCATGCCTACGCGTTATAAATAGGGGTGTGCGAATATCGTTCGAATCGAATCGAATAATCCGAAAAATTTGGAATTATTCGAAAAATTTGGAATTATTCGAAAAATTTCGAATTATTCGAAAAATTTCGAATTATTCGAGAACTTTCGAATTATTCGATTCGAGTTCCGAATCGAATATTAATATTCGATTCGGAACGAATAATTCGTAAGTTCGAATTATTCGCACACCCCTAGTTATAAATTATAACTGTTATAGTTATTACACCTTATGTAATCAATGTACAAAAACCAAACTGATGTCTCAACTATTTTATTGTGATGAATTGAAATAAACATTGCTTCTGTATTGTTAAGACTTTTCAGAGAAAAAGTTTCCACAAGGGCGATTTATATATTTATTTTTTAAGTCAAACTAACTAGCATTTCTACCAGGGCTGGAATTTAACATGGAAGGATTTACATTAAAAAAAAAGTAACATAACATAATACATTTAAATGCGCATAAGAATTAAAAAGTTATGGTCAAATGTTTTCTTTCTAAAAAAATGTTACGTAAATTGTTATAGTACTGCTTTTTTAAATAATGCGCGCTTAAATACTACCCTAAGCTAGCAAAAACCAAATTTATCGCCAAAAATACTTCAAGATAAAAATAATCCAAAAAATGTTTGAAGTTTGCTTAAAAAAATATATATTTTTTGACATATTTGATTTTTAATATACATGTATAGGTACTTCCTAATTGATCCTGATATAAAGGGTGTCTCAGATTTTAATAAAAATAAGAAGAAAAGTTTATACGAACTTATGAATTATGGTCTACAAGTAAAAACAAAAGAAAAAATTGTCATAAACAGATGTCCGAAAATGCCTCCTGGGGGCGCTATAGGCATTTTAAACTGTTTAAATAAGTTTTTATTAATTATTTCAGGGGTATTTTTTCGACAAGAAATCATCTGATGGTGTCAAATAAATGATGACCATAGGCGTGTGAAACAGGGTCCACTCGGGGAAAAATCCTCCTAATTTTTTGTGTTTTTTTTTAATTCTTAATCTTGGAATACAATTTTCCAGATAAATTTACGTAAAAAAGGTTATATACAAGGCGTCCCAGAACTCGCGCCACAGGTAAAAAGGGGGCGTGTTGATAGTAATGGAGATGCCAAATTTAAAAATTTAAAGGTAATAGTGTAATCAAACAAGCGTCCCCCGGAGGCATTAATCACCCCCATTTTTTTCTGTCATTTTATTATAATATAACTATAGCTACTTTAAAAATTAGGGTTGATTTTTCTTGTCAAATAATGTCTGTGTTGACAAATCTTAATATAAATTGAGACACCCTAACGCTATATTTACGAGGATTAATGCAAAAGATTGCGCGTAAATTTAGAAATAATAAAAATAATAGCATTATCTTAAATTACACATGCAAATGGTATATTAGGTACCGTAAACACGGGTGGCTTTAGCTCACTTTCAAACTTAAGCTTAAAATTTGTATGGTTTTAACAATCATAAACATTACCCTAGTAGCAATTCCGGAAAAGTCTTGGCCCAGTTTTTTTGTTTATGTGAAAATACGAATAAGAGCTTATTGGATTCGTCTTCTAGCTGAGAAAAAATTTGATTTTTTGAAAAATAAAAATTGTTATTTCTAAAAATCAAAAATTAAAAAAAAAAAGTGTGTGTCAGCTCTGACGCATAACTAGAGTTTACTCTTTATGAACATGAAAGATTATAAAATACATGTTTATTTTTACGGGCACCTGGTTTTTTTTTAACATAGAAAATTAAAAACTTTAACTCTTTCAAAATTTGTTTCGTTTTTAATTCTATTGTTTACCAGATTTATGGATAAAAACCGAATTTACTGGAAAGAAATCGTGAAAAAATAATGTTTTTAGTAACATTCTTAACTTTTGAAGTTCAACAAAATTTTGTATTGACCAAAAATCTTGAATTGAAGGTTTAACGTGTAATCGTGTAAAAATTCTTGGCCAAGAATCTGGTCAAATTCTGGTCACAGACTTGTCCAAGTCTGCCACCAGTCTGGATAAAGAATTTTGATCAAGAGTCTTGGTCAAGAATTGTCCGATTCTTTACAAAGTGCTTCTCCAAGTATCTTGACAAAGAATCTTGTCCAATTCCATTGCTACTAGGGTAAATATTATATACATTGAGTTGCTCTTTCATAATTACTTTGTTATAATATTACGTAGGGCTGTTTCAAAAATAAAAATTAAAAAACTGGGTGTGCAAAGTTACTCCCTGGTTGCGGGTAACTTTGTCTCACAGTGTATTTTCCGTATAAAATTAACTTAATATTTTATTTTATTTTTATTAGACACATGTTATTAGCGGCATGTAGCGATTGCACGGGATTACCGATAAAAAAAAATAAAAAATCGACCTGTAGTTAACCAAGGATCATCATTCCAAAGGAAGGCTCTTAATATAGAAATTTTAACGCGTGTATTTCTAAGAGTTCTGCACTGATGCAATATAAACAATCTAGTGTTAAAGTCTAATAAATCCCATTTATTTCTTTAAAACAGTGATTTTCCTGTAATATAAACTTAATTGAATCGCTCAATTGACATGTTTAGACCAACAAACTATACATGTTAATTTTATCGAGCTCGAAAAATTTTTTCATAAAAAGGTTAAAGTCACCCGCGGGGTGCAAAGCCACCCGTGTTTACGGTACTTTAAAGGTAGTGTCTCCCCGACCGTCGGACGGACGTAGAAAAGTGTGTGCTCGACCGTCGGACGGACGTAGAAATGTGTGTGCTCAACCGTCGCATATTTTAACCTCATTTTCAACTAGAGGCTAAATGTAGCAAAGTATTCCTCAAGGTTATGACGAATAGCTGTCATTTTGGTTATGCAGGTACACTGCATTGTGCCATACCAAACTAACCCAAACTTAACAACCCAACCCAACCGACCCCGCCCCATTGTCACAATCCAGCCTGCCCTTAAATATATTATACCTCTATTGCTCAATGGGGCGGGGTCGGTTGGGTTAGTTGTTAAGTTTGGGTTGGTTTGGTACACTGCAAATGAAAAAATATTGGCCGTATTCAAAGCACTGTGCAGTGAATTGAAGATTTGAACTCTTGTGGGAAGTATAGACTTTATTCAATGTTATGATAAATGAATGTTTGTTGACGGTATTAAGCACGTGAATGCCTCTAGGAAGCATTCAGCTTTCGGAGAGCTGAATCCTTGTCAGAAGTATTCAAAACTAGTGGTTGTGTATCGTAATCTAAACATTCGAGTTACTACTGCAGTACCACTTCACATACTGTTCTTTGGACTTTTTGGAAACAACTCGGTAGCTTACTAACTGCTTCATTTATTTACACATTTGGATAGTTTTCTTCCAGATTATCCATCGAAAATCGTAAATTTTTGTATAAGTTATTGACAGCGTCTTTTCGTAACTAACAACAATAGGTACACATTGGTTGCCACGTAACTAAGAACAAAGAGTTACTTGATCTTAGATTTGTATGGCTTTAATTTTAAATTTATTAATTATTGTTTATTTAAGTGTCTGTTTAATAATGTTTGTAGATAAAATATTGATTGATGTAAATGTTACAATAGTTATTTATGTATTAAGGGCATAATAAGGTTTTTATGGTCCGAGGCGCTATTTCGAGCCCGAGCGCGTTAGGACCATAAAAACCAGTTATGCCAGCAATACATACAAAACTTTATGCACGATTAATATATTAATATTTTTAATATATTAATGTTTTTAAAGACGTTTACGTCAAAGAATTTTTGTTATAATTGTCATATTATAATGTCAACTGACATCAGTCAGTTTTAAAGTTTAAAGATGAATGAAATTGAGGAAGCAGCTGAAAAGGCGAAAAATTGCGGGCTGCTGCCGGAAAAATCAAAATCTTTATACGAAAAAACTTACTTCGAATATATCAAATGGTGTAACATTGTTGTTTTTAATTTTTGACGTTTCATTATAGCCCGCTGGGTCATAATAACGCCCGCGGGCTATAAAAAGACGTTTACGTCAATGAATTTTTGTTATAATTGTCATATTATAATGTCATCGTGCATAAATGTTTTTATTTTGTTTGAATGGTTGGATCACTTGCCCCGCTCGTTATCCAATTTCCCTTTTCACAAAATAAAATTACTTTTAACACTTACTATTCTCCACACAAGTTCCACTACGTGACTTTGATAGAAATAATTAAGGTTAATTTTCAGATTCAAATTAGGTCTTAATTTAGAACCCAAAAAATACATTTATTGCATTATTTTCAGAAAATAGGTTAAAATTAGCTTGACACTGACAGAAAATTAACCTTAATTATTTATATCAAAGTCACGTGGTGGCTCTTTGCTGTGTGGAGCATAGTAGGTACATACATAATTATTTGTTCTACTCACGTGCGCAAAGTAATATCCGCACGCATTTAATTTCCGCACTTTCGTGCGTGCGGAAAGTAAGCGACCGGAAAAGTGCAACTTTCGGCACGCTTGTAGAAAATTAGGTGAAAAACAAAATAAACATTAAATTATTATTTTAAATAAGTGTTATTTGCCTATTACTTTGCTTTTTACGTGAGTTTTAAATTTAAAAAATCTGTCATCTGTCACCAACTTGTCATTTGTCACTTATCATCTGTCACCTGTCAAAGTGTTGCTTGATATTGTATTGAGTATACCTATGATTTGCAAAAAAAAATATTTTTTATTCTGGTAATTTTGACAAAATCTGGCAACACTGCAAATGTGGCAATTTCGCATTATATTTGATTTTTTCCCTTCGTATATGACGTCACTTCCGTCTCGTGTCGAGGTTTCTATTTTTACTCCCGATTACGACACGTTCTCTTCCACTTAATCCTTGAAATTGAATCCTCGACTCAAGTATAGAGCATATAATATTAATTTTTACATGGCCCAAACACATCCACGGAAATAGAATGAATAACATTCATCAGCACAAAATTTGAACGCTCGACTCAAGTGTATATATCAGAACATACATAAACTTTGACTTTGAATACTTCAGAGAGGTATTGAGAACTTGACCTATTGAGAAGTATTCAGCACCTTAAATTTCCTATATCAAATTCCTATTCATCACAAAATATTCAATGACTATGAAGGTAAAAACGTCAACAAAGTATAAGAGCCGAAAAGTATTCGGACACATGAGCTGCAAATATAAAAGGTCAAATCTTGAATAGAACCAGATTCAGGTCCATAGAACTTGAATACAGCCAATATTTTTTCATTTGCAGTGTATGGCACAATGCAGTGTACCTGCATAACCAGGATGACAGCTATTCGTCATAACCTTGAGGAATAATTTGCTACATTTAGCCTCTAGTCATTTTCACACGTTTGTACGTCCGTCCGACGGTCGAGCACACACATTTCTACGTCTGTCCGACGGTCGAGCACACACTTTTCTACGTCCGTCCGACGGTCGGGGAGACACTACCTACTTTAAACGATGTTATAATAAAATAAGTTTTTAATAAAACTTTATGGTTAGCTCAAGGCTCACATGTAGACCTAAATATTTTCTAGTCTATAACAACAAAAGCAATCTTACTGAAAATCTTCCCAAAATGATGTTAATAGTTGTATAAGTATTAAAATATAGTATAATAATAATAATATAATACAGTTCGATTTTTAAAAGAAGTAATTTTCATCATTAATTTACGGATCAAACTCAGACATTGTTTTGTATTTAGGTTTTAAATCTATGACGAAAGTTACTTTTAAAAATCGAACTGTATAACAATTTTTTATTGTTAATATTAAATAAGCAGAGGAATTTAAATAACTGATTTTATTATATTCAACACTTATACAAAATCCAAGTTCAAGACAACATCTAATTATCGTATTTGTTTGTTCTAGAAATTCTGTAAATTAATATTAAAAAAAATTAAACCTTATGATTAACATACAGAATTAAAAGAAAATGCCATATGAAATTAAAATAGATACTGAGTGCTAAAATACATAAAAATATGAAAAGTGAGCTGAGAGCCTCATTACCTGGGGTCTCACCTGATTCAGCGCTTCCATGCGCTGCTTTAGTTGCTCCTCCATTTCTGGCAACTTTGAGTATTGCGCCAACTTTTGCTCTGCCAATTCGAGCTTTTCTTGGATAGCGGCAATCTTTTCTTCATGCAACTAAAATTTAAAAGAATTAGAAAAAATCCGATTTACTAAATAAAAAGTTTAAAGCCAATTTAGGGGCCAAATGGCAAAATGGTAGCAAATTAGAACATATAAAAGAATAAGATGTGCATTGCCAAGGAAGATTTAACCTAAAAATTTAATTAACAAGATCAGATTCCAATTAACCCGGACAACAATCGTGATATTCATACGAACATCATGTCGTGATTTTCACAAATTTTATTCATACTGATATCATACGGAAGTCACCTCGTGATAAATGAAAATCATACGAACGTCACGTCGTGATTTTCACAAATTTTATTCATACGGACATCATCCGGATGTCACTGCGTGAGAAATGAAAATCATGTCGTGATTTTTTATGCCATCGCTGTTTGCGATTGACCGATGGCACAAAAAATCATGTCGCGATTTTTTATGCCAACGGTGTTTGGATAATCATTTTTGCGCTTCGTTCGTACACTAAGAGAAAAATTGTGTTGAATCAACAGTTTTTGCGGTTAAATACATTTAATATTTTCTTGGATTTAAATCCAAGAAAATTAATAAATGTATTTAACCACAAAAACTGTTGATTCAATATATATGTAGGTATACTTTTTCTCTCAATGTACGAATGTGGCGCAAAAATAAATATCCAAACACCGATGGCATAAAAAATCACGACATGATTTTTTATGCTATCGGTGTTTGATCATAAAAAATCACGACATGATTTTTTATTCCTTCGGTCCACCGACATGTTTGGATATTCATTTTTGCGACACATTCGTACATTGAAAAAAAAAGTATGTTAACAATTGAATCAACAGTTTAACATTCAATATTTTCTTGGATTTAAATTAATTATATATAGTTAATTTAAATCCAAGAAAATATTAAATGTATTTAACCGCAAAAACTGTTGATTCAACATAATTTTTCTCTTACTGTACGAACGTGGCGCAAAAATGATTAAACACCGTTGGCATAAAAAATCACGACATGATTTTTTGTGCCATCGGTCAATCGCAAACAGCGATGGCATAAAAATCACGACATGATTTTCATTTCTGACGCAGTGACATCCGGATGATGTCCGTATGAATAAAATTTGTGAAAATCACGACGTGACGTTCGTATGATTTTCATTTATTACGCGGTAAATTCCGTATATCAGTATGAATAAAATTTGTGAAAATCACGACGTGATGTTCGTATGAATATCACGAATGTTGTCCGGGTAGGTTTTAAATTCGCAGTTCGCAGGGCTCATACGCATGCGCAAATTTTGCAAATATCACACCGTGAGTTCTACATGATATCACTGTGATGAAGCATGTGTATGCACTTAGGATATCACGGCGTGATAAAAAAAATCACGTTGTGATATCATCATGACTTCACCAGGAAATCCCGATTGTTGTCCGGGAAGATAAATATATGAAAAGCATTATATTGTCAAAGAAGGCGTTGGAGTATTACGTAAAGAAAATTTCAATGATTTTAGACCGCCACCCCCTCTATAAGAGAAAATAACAAAAACTACGTGAACACCCCTTAAATATTAAGACGTAAGATTTTTTTAAAACAAAAATTTAAATTTAAAAAACTAAAATATTTTCAAGATCAAAATTACATTGATTTATTAAACGACTTTGGTATGCGAGTGTTTAGATTGGCACAAGCTTGAAAAATGCTTTGCTCACAAGTAAAACACAATGCTTTTTCTACAACAAACACAAAGTACATATTTTTTCAAAATTTAAAGCCAATTTTATTTGACATTTTACCTGACATGTGGCAACTGTCAAGTCAAAATATTTTCAAGATCAAAATTATATTGATTTATTAAACGACTTTTGTATGCGAGTGTTTAGATTGGCACAAGCTTGAAATAGTATATTACACTACAAGGGCCGAAAGTTAAATTTTCGGCCCTGCGCGTCATATGCCCGAGGCGAAGCCAACCCAACCTATTAAAAACTTTTACGAATTTGAATTTTGATATAATCAAAATACTCTCACAAAACCATTAAGTAATAACATTTTAAACACATCCAACAGTAGCTCTCAAGCCTAAATATGTGCCTAAAAGTACTACAATGGAATATATGCAGTATAAATTCAAATAAACATAACTTAATAAGTCTTGTGAGGGAACTTAATCTGGATGTAGTTATCTTAAATGAGACATGGCTTAAAGCCAACTATAATTTTAATTTTTTAGGCTATGAAATAATAAGGGTAGATAGAATGGATGGCTATGGTGGAGTTGCTGTCATGATCAAAAATAACATAAAATATCAGGTAATCAACCAAACTAATAACACAAATCACAACTTCCAAAGCATTACAATCCAAATCAACAATTTAAATATTATGGGATCTTATTGTCCTCCAAATACAAAGGTAAAGAAAAATGATCTAAATAATACAATTAACAATTTAACAGGATCCTTACTAATTATGGGAGATTTTAACGCTCATCATAACCTTTGGGGCGGCTCTGGGACAAATTATAACGGCAAAATAATTGCAGAACTAACAGAGGAACATAATTGGTGTGTTTTGAATGATGGGAGTGACCCTAGATTTCGGAACCCAAGTACACAGGCTAACCCAGTGGATATCTCTCTCAGTTCGACTGATATAGTACTTAAATCCAAATGGGAAATCATAACTGATGTTGGATTCAGCGATCACTTTCCAACCCTATCCTTGATAACATCACACCCATTATATCCAACCCCATCTCAAATAAAAGAAATTTAAAAAAAGTAAACTGGATAAATTTTACCAAAACTTTGGAAATAGAGCTCGCGTCGATACCGGAGGCAGGTAATGATTTTAATGCATTCTATAATAAAATTAACAAAGTATCAGAAAAAACAATCCCTAGGTTCACAAAACCAAAACCAACTAACAAACTTAGAGCTCCTTGGTGGGATCAAACCTGTCAGCTGGCATTCGAAAGTAGGAAAATATTCTTGGTGAAGTTTAGGGATGACCCTTGTCTCAAAAATTTTATAAAATTCAAAAAACAAATAGCTATAACTAGAAAAATATTAAAAAAGAAAAAAAAGATAGCTTCAAAATTTTCTGTGAATCTCTAAACAGAGTATGACACTCATCTGGAATAAAATAAGACAAAACTGCAGCCCCTTTAATTCTAGATAAACTAAGCATCACCAACATAGATCCTTATATACATCTGATGCCAGCTGATGGAGAGTTTCAGCCAATAACCCCATCAGAAATCAAAATAAATATAAAAAATAAGAAGAACTCAGCCACCGGTATCGACGAGATTTCATATTTAATTATAAAAAACTTCCCTAAAAAGGCATTCGAGATCCTCTGCAATATTTTTAACATGTGTTTAACTGAGCAGTCCATTCCTGACCAATGGCGGGAGTACCTAATAATTGCACTACTGAAACCTAACAAAGCTCCCAATATTATAAACAATTACAGACCCATTGTACTATCGTCAGTCTTCTTAAACTCTCTAGAATTTATCATACAAAATCGAGTAGAATGGCACATTGAAAATGCAAAACTCCTACATAAACTACAAACAGGGTTTCGTAAAGGTATGGGAGTCAACGAGAACATTTTATTTTTAACTTCTAGTGTGCAACTTGCCTTCAGCAGAAAGGAGTCAGTCCTAGCAATATTTATAGACATTAAATCAGCATATGACCATGTGAATATATCAAAATTATACGCCTACATGACTGAATTAAACATCCCTATTAACTATGCCAACCTAATTTATAACATACTATCACATAGAATCATATATACAAAAGATAATAATGGAGAAACATATGGCCCGGCAGTGGTCGGGAATGGAATTGCTCAGGGATCTCCACTAAGCCCACTTTTATTTAATATATACCTACACACAATATTTAAAATAATCCCAGAGGACTCATACCTGCTTTCATACGCACATGATCTCGTGCTTTTTACTAAGGGAAATAACATACACGTACACTATGGTACACCACCAACTATCCTGCTCGGCTGAGAAAACTGAATATATCTGGTTCAAAAAGAGAAAATCTAGAGTCACTCCACCACCAGTCAAGATGGGCGACGAAATAATATCAAGAAAATCCTCTGTAAAATATTTAGGAATCATTCTTGAAGAAAATCTTAACTGGAAACAACAAGTAAATAAAATAATCGCAAAAGCCAACCAAGGAATAAATGTCCTAAGAGCCGTCTCTAGAGTATGGTGGGGGGCGGACCCTAAGATCCTACATATACTATATACTGGAATTGTTAGATCACATCTAGATCATGGTAGCATACTATTTAGCCCCATTCAAAAATCCCTAAATAACAAATTGAACACCATCCAGTTTAAAGCTCTCAGAACAATAACAGGACTAATGAGATCAACTCCCACCAATGTAGTACTTGCGGAGTGTGGGGAACTTCCGTTAAATGAAAGACGAATTTGGCTAACCAGCAAATTGATATTAAAAATTCTAAGATACAAATCACACTATAATTCAAGTAATTTCTTCTTTAAAAATCGATTGTTCTCGCCCAACTACATACTGGAGAAATAAATCCAAACCCTATATAATACAATCCCTCCCCCTCCTAAAGGAGTACATCAACATAGGCAGAAGACATTGTTTACTACCATGCTTCAAAATCGAATATTCCTACCAGTTTGCAGAAATCGACCTTATAGATCTAGAACTTAGTAAAAACAATCCCAAGAACAATATAAAGATCATGCCAATTATCGAAACTTTCAAACAAGGAAAGTTCAATATTATTTACACAGATGCATCCAAGATAGACATAAAAACGGGTATCGGAGTATACAGCCCCGACTTAAAAATTCATTTTGCGGCAAGATTACCAAATAACCTACAGATTTGTACCGCTGAAATAGCAGCAATATGTAAAGGGACCGAGCTTGCGCTCTCTAAAAATAGTAAAAAAAATCTACTTCTATCCGATTCTCTCAGCGCATTGCAAATACTAACAAACACTAACTACAATGCAAAAGACAACTATTTAGCTCTGGCAACTAAGAAACTAATAACTACAGCAAATGAAAATGGATTTGAATCAAACTGGGATGGATACCAGGCCACAATGATATCAAGGGAAATAAAAAAGCAGACCATCTGGCTAAAATTGGAATCAACCTTAATGTCCCCCTGGAATGCCAACCCGACATGTATGAAATGATGCCTAACTTAAAGAAACAAATTATAAAGGCATGGAATGAAAAATGGAAAAAAATATCAACATACAAAGGAAAATGGTTCAATCAAATTGAAGAAAACTTTCCAATAAAACCATGGTTTCATACAAATAAAATCAAAAACAGAAGACATCTAACAACAATCATATGTTTAAGGTCTGGACATGGATTATTTAAATTATTCATAGAATAGGAATAGAGGATAACCCTATCTGTGAATGCGGAGGGGAAGAAAATTTATACCATATATTACTGGAATGTCCCATAAACAAAATACCTGGAACAGACATCTACTTTGAACTGACAAAAAATGACATTATCCTCCCTGCCAGCATATCTACAATATTGAAAAATTCAAACAAAAAGAACTTAAAAATTATACTTAACTACTTTGACACAAACAAAATCAAAATTTAATCATATATTTTTTTTAGATCCACACATAACTCATATCCTGGGATCCCCTTCCGAGGTAGCATCTTTGGGGTTGTCCAAGTCGCTTGGCCGCTGCCCCCAAGCGTGAAAAGTTTTTAACCTTTGTTGTGTTTTGTCCTATACTAACTTTAATTTAAAACAAAAAACATAAATATACTCTACTCAAACAAAAAGTTTACCACACATAAGACATTTAGAAGAACAAGCGACAAACAAATCTATAAAAGCCCAAAAATCAAGGGATGAGAAATCTCAGACACTCTTAACTGGGTCCCTTGATTATTATGTATATTCAAGATATAATGAGCTGGCCAAATAGTTTTTAAATAAGCTAAAGGCCATCCCCCCCTGAAGAAACGGAGACGTTTTTTTAGACCGAAGAAGAAGAAGAAGTGGTGTATACTATTTTTCTTCAGAAATTGGTCGAAAGTACTTACTTTCGTCCCTGCTATTAGGCACGAAAGTAAGTACTTTCGAACAAGGTATGAAGAAAAATAGTTATTTATGTCATCTATGGTTGACAAGTGAGTCAGCCAAATGGCATACAACATTTTATCTTTAAGGCGCAGTTTTATTTGTTGGAAGATACATAAAACCACAATCCACCCAACAAGGTCTGTTCTATCTCGTACTAAAAATCACAATGCAGAGTTTAACGGCGGCCATTTTTGTTGTTTACAATTTTTGTGTTTTGGGTTTGTGATTTATTATCTATGGTTTGTGCTCTGTTTATACAGATTAATAATGGTTTTAAACGTTGTGTTTCTTACAGAGGCACTAGTAAGCCCTAAAAGAGGACTTAAGTGCTAAGAACAACAATTTTACTCATCTTTTGTAAAAAATAAACCTTATTCTATCAGGGCTGTCATCAAACTGTCAAATGTCAATTTTAAGGTTAATTTATAACCCACAAATTAACCTTAAAATTGACATTTGACAGCCCTGATAGAATAAGGTATAATTTTTTTATAAAAAGAGGAGTAAAATAGTTGTCCTTAGACCTTTGATGCTTACAAGTGACTCTGTAAGAAAGGTAACGTTTAAAACAATTATTAAACAGCACAAACCCAAAGCACAAGAAAAGTAAACAACAAAAATGGCCGCCGTTAAACTCTGTGCAGTGTTGCAGTGATTTTTAGTATTTTTAGCATGTGATAGAACAGACCTTGCTGTGTGGATTGTGCATAAAACATACTATTACTATTATAATGATTTATTTATTTATTATCTTTGGATTTAACCTGTTAACTTTTGACACAAACTTTCAACCATGTTAACTTCCGCTAGTTACATGCGTTTTTATATGAGTGATGTTTAGAAAATGCAAGCTTAATTATTCGAAAAGTACTTATTGAAAAAAAAATATTTTTATTTAAATATACCCCTACAGGAAAAATGTGCTTCGCTCAATTGTAGGCTCCGCTAACGCGTCGGACTTCAAACTATTATAACTATTATTTAATAGTCTTAAAACATTAGAATAATAAAAATAAAATTTAAAATTGTTTAACGTTTGTAAATTACATAATTATAAATTACATATTTTACATATTGTAATATTGTATACATACAAAATTTGTTCTGCCAGTGGGGTATAAAAAAATGCGTTGCAGGCGGCAATCAATGGAATGGTACAGTTTTTTTTTAAACAAAAAAAATAATTCTGAAATGTGAGTGCATGTGTGATAAAGTTTGTTTATTTTGGAGGGTTTAAAATAGAATTTTTAAAGTTATATCTTTCTAAATAATAAATTTACTTTGATTTGAGCTTCCTTGTGTTGCAACTCCTGCTCCAGTTTCTCGTTGAGGTCGTGAAGCGACGTGGACTCTCTCTGCGCATTCAAATATCTCTTCTCCAGCGTGGCTATTCGCTCCTCTTGGTCCTCTTTTTGTGCAACGTTCTCCCTAAGATCTCTTTGTAGTTTTGAATACCCGTCTTGTGCCTTCAATAATTCCTTTTGTGCTTTCGATAGGGTCTCCTCCAGCTCGCCCACGCGGTTCTGCATGTCCGCACAACGACGTTGCCAGGTGCTTATCTCTCCAGTCTAAGAACAAACAATTTCAATGTTAATATTTTTATTTAATTTAAATGTCTAGTATACCTGCGATTAATGTATGCAATGTGAAATAGTGTGTTTGTAGGGAATGGATTTTAATCATTTAGTCTTTTTCATAAATCAAATTTGATATTTCAGAGTTAAAAAATACATTAACAATGTATTTCCAAAAAAAAAACGAACATTCCTTACTGTAATATACAATTTTGTAAAATGTTTAAAACTATGAAAATACCAAGAATTAATTCTTGTTTTTTTCTTAACTAAAATGCCGGAAAATAGGAAAATATTTATATAAATATTTGTAAATGTGGAAAACATTCAAAATATGTGCAAATATTTACATTTTTGGTTAAAGGATTTACTTAAGCTGCCATATTTATTAAATCTTACTTATATTTAATAAATATGGCAGCTGTCAGGAAATATATTAGAAATTTGTATTGTTAGGAATGTTAATGTTCGAACGCTGTACTTTTGATACCGCAACGTCATCAGCCATGCATTGTCTACCGTTGTTGAGCGATAACGTTGCGTCATCGCAACGTTCGAACTATATCTAATATATTAACAAATTAATTAAAATAATTAACTTCTTAGGGCAGACTATGACGTAGGCAGTTAAAACGCGGTTGTACTCAATAGGAAAGCACCTATTAAATTAATAAATATTTTCTCTAAAAGCTATTCTACTGTATCTAGTTTGTGTGTTGTGTGTCTCACCTGTTGCTCCAACGCTACCTGTAGATCGGCGATTCGGGCTGCGCTGTCAGTATCTGATTCCACTCCGCCATTAGTGAGTCGGGGCTTCGGCGCGCCCTGGATTTTTACAACAACATGCCACATAACAACATCCATTTTATACATGCACATTTTTAATTTTAGGTATATACTTAAAAGAGAACTCTACTGAAGGACTATTACAAATCTTATATAAATTAAATCAGTTCTGTTAACAGGCCCACAAAATAACACAAAATATTAGTAAATAAATTTAAAATATGTATATTACGCTTAACCACAAAAAACGTTTGCTTCAATATACAGGGTGTCTGAGATTTTAATGGAGGAAATTTAATAGTCAATAGAACTCTAAAAAAATAAGAAGAAAAGTTTATATGAACTTGTTGCTTTACAGCTTTGTTTTCGAGATACAGAGTGTTTAAGTTAATAAAAAAGCCACTCACTTTTTAAGAGTTTATTATATTTAGATTAAGCAATTTGCATTTTTTCTCTATCTTGCTAATATTTTTAGAATAAAATTAAATTCGTTTTTTCGCTTGTGACCATAATGTTGCCAGGGCGAGCGAATAAAGGATTTTTATTTTTGAAAATTAAACAAGAAAAAATGCAGGATACAAAAAGTTCAATTATATAAATATAATATTGTGTGGGTGTCCATGAGGATTTTCCTCTCGGAGGTTTGGTGCTAATAATCTTGGCAATTGATGCGACCTAAACTAAAAAGAATATTAAAAGCACAATTGTGATTGTGAGAAAACGTATAAAAAAGCAGTACCGTACCCAATTTTTTTTTAAATACTGTATTCTCACTTATGGAATAAAATTCGTTATTCGATGAGAACAGATTTTTAATAAATACGCTCGACACGTAAACTGTACTTTTTTTATACAAAATCATATAATTATAATTTTAAATTGTTTGCCCTCACCATATTTCCCCCAGAACTATAATTTTCGATGAAAAAAGTGGGGTTGTTGTTTAAGATAAATGTGCATAATGTGGTAGGGTAAAATGATGGGGGTAAACAATTTAAAATAAGAATTACCTATAAGATATTAAATACAAAACAAAAGTTTATGTGTCAGAGCAATTTTCACAAACATATTTTCTCATCGAAAAACGATTTTTTTTGGGTGAGAAGCACACTGTATTTAGTTGGGATGACTCAGCGCCGCCTTTGGATTAAATAAATTAAATTAAATTAAGCTCTTTGCCCATCACTAAAAACCTGAGTTTTATTATATTCAACTGGAATTTATGAAAAAATAAAATTTGTTTAATAACTTTACCACCCTCGGATTAAAAAGTTTATATATTTTTTTTCTTCTTATTTTTGCAGTTTTTGTAGTTCTATCGACTACAAAATTTTTCCCATTTAAATCTGAGACATAATAAATAAAATAGATTAAGAGCAACTTTGTTGTCCTTTAGTCCTTTAAGGCATAATCTTAAATAAAAATAATGTCCAACCATTAATTTTTAAAGTGAAAATTGAATAGATATAATTTGTAAATAATTTATAAAACTATTTAGTTGGGTACATGTGGTGATTTCCCGCGAAATACGCACATTTTACTCGATCTAATGCTTGTTGGCGCACGAGCAGCGGATCGCAAAAAAGTGACAAGGAGGACAGCTAGGGCAACTTCAAAGGTATGTATCGATATCGCGAACCTTTTTGATTTTTTTTCGAAAAATTTTTAAACGATTTGTAGGGCGAGAGAAATTTTTGAAATTGGTTCAACGAAATACACGAATCGACGGGAAAAAGACAAAGGTTAACATACTAAAAGATGAGCTTTATTGAATAAAAACTAATAGGCCAGAAGCCCGTTTAATTTTTGTTGGGTATTTAAAAAAGTTAAACAATAAAAATCCCCAAAATTAAATCGATTACAGGGGGCCAAATTTAGTTGCGGGGTTGCTAGCTTTTGCATAAATTTCTCAAACAAAAAAATATAATTGATAAAATTCATTTAACAAGTGGATCTTTTAATTAAAGTCGATTTAATTTTTTCGCATATCATATACAGGGAAACCCAACAAAGTATCCAACAACACTTTGACATATGTCAAGTGGCAGATGTCAAGTTTACAGATGATAGATGAAAGATGTCAAGTTGACAGATGACAGGTGACAGATGATTACAATTGGCAGATGACACTTATAAGGTGACAGAAGACGTGAGAAATATAAAATTCATCTTTGAAATTACTACCCAGTTTAGGTGGAGAGGTCGCGGCGCGATTCCCACCCGCAGCGAGCACCATCGTTTTAGTGTGCAAGTAATTTTTCTAATGCTCATTTAATTAAAATATTGCTCATTTGATATCTGTTTTGCTGCGCACAGAATTCTAATGCGCATAATAATGAATTCATTGCTTAAAATATTTAAACTAATGCGCACTTAAAAACATTTATTTTGTGTAGTAGTAGTACATAGTAAATGTATTTGTGCAAAAACCTTTGCACGTAAAAAAAGTTGGTTAATTTGTATTAAAAAAAACTGTAACTTTAATGGTGTGTTGAAAGCTTTTTGCCCAATAATATTGTGCAAATGAATACACTTCTTAACAATTGATCAATTATTGATATGGGTAATTCATAAAATATAAAAAGTAATCCAAACGATGACCATATGCTTGAAACATTTTTAAATATTTATGTCATTGATCTTTCAATTTAAAAAATGATGGGCTAAAAATATTTTTTGTTCTAATTGTTTAGGAGATGGTAAAAACAGTCTAAAAACACCCTTTAATAATTTAATTACTTTGTATAATTTATGTATTTAATAGGTACATTAAGGATTAGAATAATTATAATAACCCTTCAATTATTTATATACCTACCATGTATAAAAAAAATTTGTAATATAAATACAATAAATTATACAATTAATATTATTATAAATCTATATTAGTAGTAGGTGTGTATATAAATAGCAGAGCGCTAATAGTACACAAACTGAATTTAAAGAAGCGTACAAATTACAATAATTTATATAATTTTGTTATATTTAACTACGAGCGAGGGGTAAACCACTGTTTTTTTTTAAATTAAAAATCGCCTACGAATTAACGGCTAAGGATAACAATCCCAAGGGTAGTCATGCGCAACGTGTCGCTAAGAGAAATTTGTTATTGATAAGGATTTTTCCTTATTGATAACGACTGATAACGTCCACATATATGTGGACGTTGTGCTATAACGTTGAACGTTGGTCTCGCTGATTTTAAAGTGGTTTACCCCTCGACTACGAGTTGTCGTAAAACATCGTTTTTAGAAAAAAATAAATCAAAAATTGTTTAAGCGTTAGTTTTGATGTTTAAATTTCAGTAAATTCTCTCATGCCCAAATAATAAAATGAAAAAAAAATAAAATTATATCTCACCTTATTAGTAACAGTTATAACTTGGTCCCCTACATCAACTTGTCCATTTTCTTTGGGTTTGTCTTCTACAGCAGGTACACTTGAGGGGGTGTGTCCTTGTTTGTACTGTTGTAACTGTGGGAAAAAATAAGGTGGGTTATTATAATTTACAAGTAAAACAAACAATATTAACAAACCTCTTCTTTGGTTGCAGCTAATTCCTCTTCTAATTTTGTATTTCCTTCTAATGCTACTTTCAGTCTCTCGCGAACCTTAAAAAACCAAAATATTTATTAATATTTTAGGTAAAACCTTCTGATTAAAGTTTTTACAACAATTAATAATATTAATTATCCAAAGAATATTATACAGATTTATTTTGTATTTAATAGGTAACAAAATAAAATTAGTAAATTACCTTTTCGTCCAGAGCCTTGTGATGTTCGAATAAACTTTTCAAAGCTTTTAAAACCTCTACTTCGCTTGAGACGCCCGATTGCGCGGCTGCCTGCCTTTTTACCACAGTCATCCGCAGAGATCTCTCGTGCCTCGAAACCAGACATTCCAAATGTTCGAGCAATAACTGAAAACATAGAAAACGGCATTTAATTAATATGCACACATCCAAAATCAAATTATTTTGTTTTATATCCTATAATCCTATATAATATAAATGATTTTCTTTTAAACAATGCATCTTCCTGAATTTTTAAAATTGTTTTCAACAAGAAAATTATAAATGGTAACTGACATTTTGCTTTAAGGCCCAATAAAAGTATATTTGTTCTATTTGATTTTTTCATCCTATGAAAAATTTCTATAGATTTTGAAAATAGACCAAAAAAATGATCACGTCATTTGCGATTCAATAAAATGTTATTCACGGTATTCGGCACATAATATAACAGCTAAACTGTATATTTTTAAGAAACATTTATTTGCTGAATAAATGGAGAACCAATAAAATTATTTAAATATTTTAAAATTATTTTAATTATATACAAGGTGTTGCACATTTACGTGTGTTTTACGTTCGTGGTCCATTAAAAGTTTCTGAGGAACGGCAAAAGATATTGATTTGAAATTTTTAAACCGTTTATTATCCAATTAAACCTATTTTTCTAGAATATTTTAAACAAAATTCCACTTCCGGTTTGACCGGAAGTGACATCATCTTTGTTATTTGAAATAGAACACCCCATACATTTTTACATTTTTAAATTCTACATAAAATTTCAAGTAAAATTACTGTACCATGACCTATACCTAAAGTGAATAGTTTGATTTTTTTTCGTTAAAATTTGACAAATGCGCGTCAATCAAAAATAGCCTATAGCTTTTTTGGTATAAGGTTTGTTGAAATGGGGGTGGAATTTTTGAAATCTTAAAACATTGTTTAAAAGATTCCATGTCAATTCTTTAACATTTTTTAACAAATTACCCAAGAAAACCCAGGGCAAATTAGGCTAACTTGAAAGTTAATAACTTTTTTATTTTAAATGAAACACCCTGTTTGTTTTTACATAATCAAATAGAAAATTAAAAAACATTTCGATTCATGTAATTGTTAAATATCTTTGAAATTATTAACTTTAGGTATAGGGAACTCGAAAACTATTTACTTTAGGAAATTAGGGAATTGTATGGTAATTTTACTCAGAATTTTATGTTAATTTAAAAATGTAAAAATATATGGGATGTTCTGTTTGAAATAGCAAAGTTTCGGTCAAACCGGAAGTGGATTTTGTTCAAAATATTTAAAAAAATAGACTTAAATAGATTATAAACGCTTTTAAATTTAAAATCGATATTTTTTTCAGTTCTCCAGAAACCAATGGACCATGAAGGTGAAACACCCTGTATACAGAGCTGTTCCGAGTACAATGAAAAAGTACTCGAGTGCTCAATATATGAAAGTACTCGAGTACTGAATATATAAAAGTACTCAAGTACCAAGTACAAGTACAGTACCGCTGTACTCGAGTACCCATACGAGTACAAAGTACCAAGTACACTTTAGTTATGAAATGTTGGGAAAAAATGCTAGAGAAATACATATACTTAAATATGTGTTTATTACATTATAAGATACATTTTTAAAATGTATTATTAAATATACACATAAATACATTTATAACTAACTAAACCTTATTATTAACAAAAACTTGTTTTGGATTGTGGATTTCAGCAATATAAAACATACACAGTTGGGTTATGTTCGCAGGTATAAGTAAATTTGCATTAGAACTCTAATGCAAATTAACTAGACCTGTTTCTAAAAGGCAATGCTCTTTTACCTATTTTTTTACAGGCACCAATAACACCTTTTTAGCCATTTAGGAAAATGTTTTGAAAAATAAATGCAATTGACATCGAGGAAAATATTTTTTTGACAAGAATATAAAAAAAATAAGAAACATACTCTAGACTCTAGAGGATAACATATGTTGGTTCATGCTTGATATACATCGGATAAACTTTAATCATAAGGAGCTATACTCATATACATGCATATAGTTTACCCTTGCCTGCCCCCCTGAACAAAATCCTGGCTACACCCTTGCTGGAAATGGGGCAAGAATCCTTGCTTTTTTCAAAGGTTAAATTAAACCCAATGAAAAAAATTATGCATGCCTTATACACTTTGTTTTTTAAATAATTTATATTGAAAAATATATGTAGGTACACAAATTTTAAAAACTGTTACTTTAATAAAGCAAATTTTAAAATTTAACGGTTGCAGTTCTAGTCCAGATTTTTTTACCCTTTGTATTTTGTTTTAAAAATAAAAATAATGTTTCAGAGCATATTTTTTAGAGATGGGAAAATTCCCATTTGACGAAAATTCCCGGAAAGTTTCCATCGAAAATTCCCGAAATTTTCCGAGTTTCAAAAAAAAATTTTTTATTGCGAAAATATTTTTGGGATTTGCAAAAATATATAACACATTAACTTTTTGTCAAATTTTTGGTTGCATTAACGACATAGATTTTCTTACAGAACTTGCTTTAAGCATGGTCTTTTTTTGCACTATTTTGTAATAATTCCAAACACTAGATTTTTCTTTTGGCATTGTGCTATGCTTATAAATAAACAACAAAAATGTAAGAATGATTTTAACTTTGTTTATTGTATTTATTTTGTTTAACTTTTTTTAAAAAAGTTTTTTGTGTTGATGCTGAATAATCCGGCTTCATTGAGGTTATGTAACATAACTTACATTATTTATACTTCTTCTTCTGCTTTAAATTAACACAAATTAAATTTATATTCAAAGTTTCTTGGCCTTGTATCATGGCCTTAACGAAAATCAGCGGTTAAACAATTGACATTTAAATGAAAAAAACAAGGAAAGTTTCCAAGGAATGTTTCCGGTAGCTTAAAAGAAACTTTCAAAATGAAAATAAATTCCCAATTGGAAACTTTCCAAAACGGAAAGTTTCCTTAAAATGGAAACTTTCCGATTCCCATCTCTAATATTTTTAATTATTTGTCAAATAAATATTACAAATGATAAAAACAATTTGAACCAAAAATATAAACAAATAGTTTCATACACTGTGTATTAGGGTGGAGTGAATTTTATTAAATTTATTAATTGATTTTCCCTATATTATTAATTGTTGACTAAAGGCGTAAAATGAATAAATATCGAAAAAATATTCCAATTTTTTAATATCTTGAGGTGGCGCATCAGTCTCGAAGTTTTGAAAATTCTAAAAAAATATTACTTTAATCAAAGTAATAAAAATAGCATTATTTATAAATAAAAAGTTTATTTTAGTAAAATTAACGTGAAACGTAAACATATTTAATAGTAAATCATATGCTTTAAGTAACTTCAGGACTGTTTATTGGTAGAAATGAGATCTTCTTTTTCGCGAAAATACTGATATTTGGTATAAAAATTTGGTAATTATTTTCTGACTTTAATTCTTGTTCTGATGAAACCATCTCTTGCTTCCGATCCACAAACCGAGACTGAAGATTCAGTATACTAGTTATAACCAGTTTTACACAGCGTTCCACTGCTTGGGTGTGATACGGAAATTTTTGGAAGTATAGGAAATGGTCACCCGAAGAAATCATATCGGTAATTTCTGTCATCGTATTTCATAGTCATAGGTGGTTCAGTTACCTTTTCTGTCGCCCAGTGAATTAACTCGTAAAAATGTAATGCTTCAGTATTTAGTTGTGGAAGCTTTAATTCCCGTAATCTCGAACATTTTGATTCTTTTCTCGCCTTTAATATTTTCGGCAATGCTAGTTCTCTGATCGATAGATATATTGTAGGTAACATAGCTAGTAATAGGTTTTCGGGATAAATATTAGCTATAGCTTACAAAGATCCAGGCAAGCTAGCACATTCCCTATGGCTGACGTGGGCTAATAGGATTATTCGTTTATATGGGGGGACAGCAAATCCATCGGAAAACCTAAAAGAATTGGCTACTTTTATCATGAAAGTGTATGCCCCAACGTGGTTTTACATCAACAGCAAGCCTACGTGCAAACATGGTCCTATTCACATATTTAATTTGACTAAAAGAGCATTACACCTCCAGAAAAACTTGAAGGCCTTATAACTATAGTTATAAAGAATATTCAGCGAAATATTTATCCCGAAAACCTATTACTTGCTATGTTACCTACAATATATCTATCGATCAGAGAACTAGCATTGCCGAAAATATTAAAGGCGAGAAAAGAATCAAAATGTTCGAGATTACGGGAATTAAAGCTTCCACAACTAAATACTGAAGCATTACGTTTGTACCAGTTAATTCACTGGGCGACAGAAGAAAAGGTGACTGAACCACCAATGACTATGAAATACGATGACAGAAATTACCGATATGATTTCTTCGGGTGACCATTTCCTACACTTCCAAAAATTTCAGTGTCACACCCAAGCAGTGGAACGCTGTGTAAAACTGGTTATAACCAGTATACTGAATCTTCAGTGTCGGTTTGTGGATCGGAAGCAAGAAATGGTTTCATCAGAACAAGAATTAAAGTCAGAAAATAATTACCAAATTTTGATACCAAATGTCAGTATTTTCGCGAAAAAGAAGATCTCATTTCTACCAATAAACACTCCTGAAGTTACTTAAAGCATATGATTTACTATTAAATATGTTTACGTTTCACGTTAATTTTACTAAAATAAACTTTTTATTTATAAATAATGCTATTTTTATTACTTTGATTAAAGTAATATTTTTTTAGAATTTTCAAAACTTCGAGACAGATGCGCCACCTCAAGATATTAAAAAATTGGAATATTTTTTCGATATTTATTCATTTTACGCCTTTAGTCAACAATTAATAATATAGGAAAAATCAATTAATAAATTTAATAAAATTCACTCCACCCTACTGTGTATGTATGTTTTTGCTTCCAAGCAATTATAAAATGCCTTTTAAACTTTTATTATTGGCAAAAACTGTTAATAATATTATAATATATAATATATTATGTATATTCAATTTGAAATACCCATGTTGTTGCTCCTCATTTCATTTTCTTTTATATTTAATGGTATATTTCTGGGCCCAAAAATAAATAGAGTTAAATTTCCT